TTTTTTTTTTTTTTTTTTTTTGAGGCGGAGTTTCGCTCTGTCGCCCAGGCTGGAGTGCAGTGGCCGGATCTCAGCTCACTGCAAGCTCCGCCTCCCGGGTTCACGCCATTCTCCTGCCTCAGCCTCCCGAGTAGCTGGGACTACAGGCGCCCGCCACCTCGCCCGGCTAGATTTTTGTATTTTTCAGTAGAGACGGGGTTTCACCGGGTTAGCCAGGATGGTCTTGATCTCCTGACCTCGTGATCCGCCCGTCTCGGCCTCCCAAAGTGCTGGGATTACAGGCTTGAGCCACCGCGCCCGGCCAACTTTAGGTGAGTTTATAGCTAATCATAAAAAAAGGGAACCAGGAGCCGTGACTCATGCCTGAAATCTCACTGTTTTGGGAGGCCAAGGTGAGAGGATCACTTGGGGCCAAGAGTTCCAGATCAGCCTGGGCAACATAGCAAGACCCACTCGGAAAAAAAAAAAAAAAAAAAAAAAAGCCAGGTATTGTGGCATACACCTCTAGTCCTAGCTATGCAGGAGACTTGCTGGAGCCCAGAAGTTCAAGGTTAAAGTGAGCTATGATGGTGCCACTGCACTCCACTCTGGGCAACAGAACACGACTCTGTCTCCAAAAGAATAAAATAAAAAAGGATGTTGTGTCTAATAACATGAAAACAAATGTGTGCTGCTACTAGAAAATTAGATTTGATTTGAGATATTATTAAGAATAAAAGAGGCAAATACATTTGCTTCCTTTTTTAAAGAGACAGGGTCACATTCTGTCACCCAGGCTGGAGTAATCATAGCTCACTTCAGCTCCACCTCCTAATCTCAAGCAATGCTCTCATCTCAGCCTCCTAAAGCACTAGGATTACAGTCACAAGCTACCACATCTGGCACCCCACTTTTTAAAAAAAATTTTAATATTTTAAAGGAGATGGGGTCTTGTTGTATTTGCCAGGTTTGCCTTGAACTCATGGCCTCAAGTGATCCTCCTGCCTCTGCCTCTCAAAGTCCTGGGATTATAGGCATGAGCCACCAAGCCCAGCCTCTCACTTTTGATTGTGCACCAGATGTAGCCCATTGTGAACAAGTGTGTCAGACTGTGAGCACGCTCACATGAAGAATAATGCCATTAACAGTAAAATAAGTTGCATTGACTTTACTGAAATCAAAGAAAAAACTAAGTCTAGCCTATGACATTACGAGTTGGAAAAAGGTATTAACATAAAACACGCTTTTGGCCAGCGATATGATCATGGAACAACCATGGCAGGTTATCCAAGGGTGTATAAGCTACTATTTCCCTCCAAAAATGATTATGCCAAATTGTGTCTTCCTCGGTTCATAATTTTTTTTTTTAAAGAGACAGGGTCTCACTCTGTTCCCCGGGCTGGAGAGCAGTGACATGAACATGGCTCACTGCAGCACCAAACTGCTGTGCTCAATCAGCTCTTAATTCATATGCAAAAATTCTGCTTCTGTGAAATGAAATTTGATGACCTGTTTTAACATTGTATGTTTGTGTTTGTGTGTGAATTCAGTGGACAGAATATTCTTACATCTGTTTTAAAAAACTATTCCCCATGGAGATCAAGATCAAATGCAACCAAGGCACTTCACAAACTAAAACTAAAGGTATTTGTAAACACTGAACTTTTTATTTTTTTTTGAGACAGCGTCTTGCTTTGTCGCCCAGGTTAAAGTGCAGCAGCATGAGCACCTGGCTAATTTTTAAACTTTTTGCAGCGACAGGGTCTCACGTTGTTGCCCAGTCTGGTCTTGAACTACCGGGCTCAAGCAATCTTCCAGTCTTGGCCTCCTAATGTGCTGCTGGGATTACAGGTGTGAGTCACCTCACCCAGCATGAGAAGCTTTTTAATACTATCAGTCAGGTGGCATTTTCTTTTTTTTTTTTTTTTAAAAGACAGAGTCTCGCTCTGTCACCCAGGCTGGAGTGCAGTGGCACCATCTCAGCTCACTGCAAGCTCTGCCTGCCGGGTTCACGCCATTCTCCTGCCTCAGCCTCCCGAGTAGCTGGGACTACAGGCATCCGCCACCATACTTGGTTAATTTTTTGTATTTTATTAGATGCGGGGTTTCACTGTGTTAGCCAGGATGGTCTCGATCTCCTGACCTCGTGATCTGCCAGCCTAGGCCTCCCAAAGTGCTGGGATTACAGGCATGAGGCACCGAGCCCGGCCACGGTGGCATCTTTGGAAGAAATTTTGGTCAGGTGAAATTAGTGAAAAATTATTTAAGATCATCACTTGGTCAAGAGAAATTCACATGATAATTCTCTCAACTGAAAAATGAGACAGTAGATTTTAGAAATATTCACGAGTTTGTTTCTATTTACGTAAGGAGAGTAAACTTACTGTTTTTGTGTAAGTAAAATATTTAAACTTAAAATATTTTGGGTTTTAATATACATATTTTCCTTTTTTTTTTCCCACTTACTGAAACATTGTGGGAAAAAATTAACATTAAAAAACACATGTTTTGACCGGGTGCAGTGGCTCACGCCTGTAATCCCAGCACTTTGGGAGGCCAAAGGCAGGTGGGTCACCTAATGTCAGGAGTTTGAGACCAGCCTGACCAACATGGTGAAACCCTGTCTCTACTAAATATAAAAAATTAGCCAGGTGTGGTGGTGGACGCCTGCAATCCCAGCTACTTGGGAGACTGAGGCAGGAGAATCGCTTGAGCCCAGGAGGCAGAGGTTGCAGTGAGCTGAGATTGCGCCACTGCACTCCGGCCTGGGCGACAAGAGCAAAACTCCATCTCAAAAGAAAAAGAAAACCACATACACAAAAACCACATTTTTTCCTTTTGCCTCAGGCTCCAGCATCACTCTCCTGCACGGGAGGGTACTGGTTGGAAGGTATGTGAGGGAACCTTCTGATGGTCATGCTCAGGACCTTGAGAAGGGTCTGAGGCACACACTTGTGAAAACTCGGCAGGTACTCACCCGTGAGCAGGGCATCGCGCCGAATGCCGAGCTTTCCGTCCAGAGGAAAACCCGGTAGCAAATGGATTCTAATGATGTGCGCACCGGAGTGTTAGGGAAAGCCGCCTGAGGTCTATAATTTACTTGGAAATGCATAAAAAGTAAAATGGATCAATGCAGGGAGGATTAACTAGATGTGACAAAGTCCAGTAACGTGAATGGTACGCTCAGGTGGTGGGTATATATCCAGATGTGCAATATAAAATTCATTCATCACTGCTGTGAGCCGGCAAATGTCTGTGGCCAGGTGTTGGGGGCGAAAGGAGGTCTAGGCCTCTGCTCCTGTGCTTCAGATGCCGGCACGTCCCGGAGGAGCTCCTGCCACCCCTTGGATGCTGTCCAGGTGGGGCGGCTGGGGTAAAATACAGTATCCTGAGGAAGAAGTAGCCAAGCCTTACGGGGGATGGGTCAAGTTGTGGAAAGAAAGGGCAGAGAGCAGAATGTGGCACTGGGCGAGGGGAGACATGGAGCATCCTCAAAACAGGGGGAGGCCTGGCTCGGGCCTTCCTCACCCACCCCTGCTCCCCACCGAGTCTGTCCTCCTTTTCCCTCCACTCTGTCAAGCACAAGGCAAGGCCAAGGCTGACAGATTTGCCAGTAAATAAATTGAAGACCTTTTCAGATTTGGTTTATTATTTGCACAGACAACCAAAGAAAGAATGGCCAAAGGTGCCCAGTCCCCATGGACCTTGTGCAGGGCAATACCGAAAAGTGACCACATGACTGCCACATGGATGACAGGACACTGGGCCGCAAAGAGCTGCAGCCACGCTAAGTGCCCAAGGTGACTCAGCAGAGCCTGGGAGGCATTAGGAGCCGCAGGGAGGCGAGGGGGCCCGGCTGTGCCCAGGAGCATGGCAAGGTGCTCTGCTGAGAGCAGGGTGCAGCTGTGGCCCATGTGGATACGTGCAAGGGCGCCAGGGCAGAGCTCTCCCCGGACTCGCCCCCGGGACTTTCCTTCAGGTTCCTCCACTCCCAAGACACCATCAGGGCCTCTGGAAACAAACAGATTGGGGGTCCCCTCTGTCTCTGAGGAAAACACAAGTCACTCAGAAGCTTAAGATGCTCTGTGCCACTCAGGAAATGGGACTTAAAAATCGTCAGACAGCTTGGAAAGGCTTAAGAGAAGGAGGGGCGTCGCAGAGGCCCACTCAGGGTGCAGCTATATCAAGGGGTAACAATTCCAGTTTCAGTTTTTAAAATCACAGTGAAACACCAGAGCAAGGACAGAGTGAAGAGAGCGCTGCCCTCCCTGATGAGACCAGACCCACTCCCGGAGGGTAGGGACAGTGGCAAGAACACAGACACGGGTGGCCACGTGGGGCTGTGGTGGGCAGCCTGGGAGATGGCCCTCAGCGCCCCCAACTCCTGGTGTGTGTCCTGTGGAACCTCCTCCCCTGGGCGGAACCCACACCAACAGAACACAGCAGAAAGAGGGGGGGTTCCCTGTGGCTGCAGGAGCCTGCCTTTGCGGCTTGCTGAGCTATGCGGGAGCTGTGCCAAGGAAAGGTCCGTGCAGCAGAGAATTGAGTGAGGCCTCCAGCCAAAAAGCAGAAAAGATCGAGGCCCTCACTCTAATAGCCCGTGAGGAACTGAATCCTGCCCACAGCCGCGGGGCCAGCAGAGAAGCTGAGCCTCCCCGCCTGGAGCCTGCAGTCCGCTCACAGTCCGGCGGGTCCTGACGGAGGCCTCGGGAGGGACCTTGAGGCAGAGGCTCCTTCACCGGGCCTGGATGTCTGACCCACAGACACTGTGGAGCTACATTTGTTTGAAGGGGCTCAGCTGCGGGGCAAATTGTTACACAGCAACCGACAAGTTTCTGTTCCCTGTTTCTGTTCTTTTTCTTCAACAGGGCTGGGTGTGGAGTGGCCCGCTCCTGCCAGCCCTGCTCCGCGTACCCTCATGGGCTGAGCTGCGGGGTGAGCCGGGCCCTGTCTTCCTCCCTGCCCTGGCTCTGTCCCCCCAGTGCCCAACCCCGAGAGTGGGGAGAGCGGTGGGGCTGCGCGGACTCTGAGAAGCCTTCCAGTTCCAACTGCCAGGGAGCTGCTGCCCAGGGAGCGCGAGGAGCGAGGTCGGGCATGCGCGGGCTCTGCCTCTGATGCTAAGAAGGGGAGACAGGGAAAAGGAGTGAAGCCAGCGAAGGCAGCACGCGTCCCAGGGCAAGACCCCACGCACCAACACAGCTGAATTTCCGGCAGCGGGAAGGCCCTGTGCTTCACTCCTGCCCAGTCACTGGGAAATTCCCAAGTCAAGATGGGGAGCATGGTGGCGCCTGGCGTCTGAAAGGCAAACCCCCTCCTCTGTGTCATCCTCTAACCTCTCCCTGTCCTGCGGGGCTCACATGCCACCTCCTCCAGGAAGCCTTCCTTCAGGAGCCTGCCTGTCAGAGGTCATCTCACCTTTTTCTCAGATCCCATGCCCTGTTGATTGTTCTCTCATTGCCTTGTTTCCTGTACACAAATGGTCAGGAAACGTCTGTCCTTCTGAAATTCCACTCTCCTTAAGGCAGAGGCCCTGCTCCACCAGGAGCAGCTAAAATTTCCTATTGAGACTCCTCCTGGTTACAGGGGCACAGGTTGCCCCCAGGGATCTGTTCTCAGCTTCCCGAGGGCAGGGTGTGCCTCCTCCCACCTTCCCACATGCTGCTGGTGCTACAGAACCTGTCCAGGGCCAGGGGAGGTACCCACTGTCTGCACTTGTAGGGCACAAAGGGACAGCCCTCTCTGTCCAGAAGTCCAGGGACTCAGCCTTGGTGCAGACTGGGTCTTAGGCAAGGCAAAGCCAGAGGACAGGATCTGCAGGGACTTCTGGATAGGAACCAGCCGGCAGCCAGGCTCCTCAGAGCGCTAGAGGTCTGGGGGTTCTCACCTGATCCTTAACTAGAAAACCAGGGCTGTTATGTTCCATGCCATGTGCACTCCCAGGGGAAGTGGTACTTCTCCCTCCTGACTCTGTCCCCACCTCCCTAAACAAGCCTGTGGCCCTCTAACAAAGCCCAAAGTCCCATGAAAGATCCTGCCTGGTGCTGGTCCTCAGCTACGTGGACTGAGTAGCCCTTTTTAACAGGAAGGACAGCATCTGGTTCCCCCCTTTCCAGTGGCCTTCTCCACAGGGCTGGCCTGACTCCCCACAGCACTCACCTGGACAAGTGGGGGCCCATTCCCCGGCTGGCCTCTCGTTGTTCCCCGAAGGTCTCTCTCAGCATGGTGAACATGGGAGCCAGGGTTCTGCCCGTGTGAGGGAGGTGCTCAGATCCTGCAGGGAGGGAACAAGGTGGAGGAAGTCGCTGGCCCTGCAGAAGCTGGAGTCACCCCCTCCACACCCACTGCCAGGGAAGGGGCAGGAAGCATCAGGGGAGTCACCTGCTCTCGTCTGAGAGGGAGGTAGAGGCAGAGGGAGGCTAGAGAAAGACAAAGGCAAGGCAGGGGCAGAAGCAGGGAAAGCCCAGCAAAGGTGGGTTGGAGGAAGAGACAGAAATGGGGATGAAAGAATGAAAGAAACAGAGAGAGGCAGAGAGACAGGGAAGAGAGGAGAGAGGAAGGGAGCCAGAGAGAGGAAGAGAGAGCTGGTGAGATGGGGAAGGGAAGGATATGAAGGCAGGGGAGGATGAAAACGCAAAGAGAATGAGGTGGAAACAAAGAGAAAGGGAATTCCAACCAACAGTAGTCACTGAGAAAGGGACTTTCCACGCTATTTCATTCAACCCTCAAAACAAGTAGGTACTACTGCCATTCCCATGATGTAGATGAAGAGACAAAGGTTTAAGAGATAAAGAGGGAGGGAGAGAAAATAGAGGCAGGAGAGAGAAAATATGAGGCAGGAATACAGATGAGACAGAGACTGCGTATTCAAGGATCAAAAGACAACAGGCCGGGCCTGGTGGCTCACGCCTGTAATCCCAGCACTTTGGGAGGCTGAGGCAGGTGGATCGCCTGAGGTCAGGAATTCAAGGCCAGCCTGGCCAACATGGTGAAGCCTTGTCTCTATTAAAAATACAAAAATTAGTTGGGTGTGGTGGTGGGTGCCTGTAATCCCAGCTACTTGGGAGGGCGAGGCAGGAGAATTACTTGAACCCAGGAGGCGGAGGTTGCAGTGAGCCGAGATCGTGCCACTGTGCTCCAGCCTGGACAACAAAGCACAAACTCTGTCTCAAAAAAAAAAAAAAAAAAAAAAAAAAAAGACAAACAACAACCCAACAGTCTATCTGCCCATAACAGCATAAACTCGAGAAGAAGGACTGTCTGTCTCCAGCAACTAGAAGAATGCCTGACAAAGAGCAGGCGTCCAGTTAACAGCTGTGGAACGAACAAGCAAACATTATCTGGACTATGCCATCAGGCAAATAAAAGCCTTGGAAACTGCATAAAACCGGGGTGACCAGGAAAGGCTTCACGCAGACAGTCTATCTGAGCCAAACCCGGAGGCATGCAGGAGGCAGAGCAGCGGCTTTGGTCATGCAGCAAAAGCCAAGTATCTGACAAGGGCACGGAAACAGAAGGTGGCAGAGCGGGTGTGGGGGCAAGTCGGTAAGTTCTGGGGACCAGGTCTACTGTTCCTCGAGAAGCTGCAGTGTTGGGCTTTCGAAAGGACTGAAGCTCAGGTAGGGGTTTTCTTAATGGCCACTGCCATTCTCCAAGTGAGAGACAAGAACCTGAACTAAAAACACAGGAGCTGGACAGCGGGAAAGGGACAAGGTCTAAGATTCAGCCACTTATTCATTCAACCTACTGAAGAGGTAGGATTGCCAGTTCCTGGACACCACCTGCAGGGCTCCAGTGTCCCCTGCAACCTGGGAGGTCAAGGTTGCCCAGTCAGGGCTCCAGGGAGGTGTCTCCATGGACTGTCTGCTTTCCAGCCTGAGGGACTGATGACCTGGTTGCTCTCAAGGATCCAGAACGTGAAAGGAGGCGCAGGTTTTGTTGGAAAGCTGAGTTCACATTTGAACTTGTTGCAGAACCTGTGGGATTCCTGAGAGGTGACAGCCGGGGCATTTGGATCAACTCTGTGAGAGCTCCAGAGAGGGCTGGGCCGGAAATAGACTTCGCAGCTGGTGGCACAGCAAGCGAAGCCATGGAGATCACACAGATTACAGCCTAGAAGCTAGAGAAGAGGGCCAAGCAAAGCAATGTGGGGCACAATATTTAAGAAGACAATATTCACCGGGCGCGGCAGCTCATGCCTGTAACCCCAGCACTTTGGGAGAGTGAGGCAGGTGGGTTGCTAGACCAGCCTGGGCAACACTACAAAAATCTCTCTCTACAAAAAAATACACAAATCAGCCAGGCATGGTGGTGTGCGCCTATAGTCCCAGCTGCTCGGGAGGCTGAGGTGGGAGGATCACTTGAGCCTGGGAGGTCGAGGTTGCAGTGAGCCATGATCATACCACTGCACTCCAGCCTCCAGGCTGAGACAGAGTGAGAACCTATCTCAAAAAAAAAAAAAAAAAAAAAAGACAATATTTAATATCCAGTTGTGAAGAGCCACTGCCAGAACCTGAGAAGGAATGGTGGAACAAGAAGAGCAAGAAAACTAGACAGAGAACAATTTTTTGAGATAAGGTCTCACTCCCATTGTCCAGGCCGGAGTGCAGTGGCGTGATCTCAGTTCACTGCAGCCTTGACTTCCCCGGCTCCAGTGACACTCCCACCTCAGCGTCTCGAGTGGCTGGGACTACAGGTGCGGGCCACCATGTCTGGGTAATTTTTGGTATTTTTGGTAGAGATGGAATCTCACTATGTTGCCCAGGCTAGTCTTGAACTCCTGGGCTCAAACGATCCGCCTAACAACCTCCCAAAGTGCTGGGATTACAGGTGTGAGCCACCGCACCCTGGCAAGAACAATGTTTTAAGAAGCACGAGGATGGTGAGTATCAAACGCTGCATAGTTCAGGTGAGAGAACTGAAGAGTCTACTCGGCAATCAGGAGTTCATTGGAGACTCTGGCAGAAGTTTTCTATAGCAGAATGGCAGGAAACGTAGCCATACTGAGATTTCGTTAGGCACAAACAGGTGGTGAGGAAGTAAAGAAAATGAGAATGAAGACTGATTTTAAGAAACGAGTGGCCGGGCGCGATGGCTCACTCCTGTAATCCCAGCATTTTGGGAGGCCGAGGCGGGCGGATTACGAGATCAGGAGACGAGACCATCCTGGCTAACACAGTGAAACCCCGTCTCTACTAAAGAATACAAAAAATTAGCTGGGCGTGGTGGCGGGCGCCTATAGTCCCAGCTACTCAGGAGGCTGAGGCAGGAGAATGGCGTGAACCCGGGAGGCGGAGGCTGCAGTGAGCTGAGATTGCGCCACAGCACTCCAGCCTGCGCAACAGAGCGAGATTATCTCAAAAAAAAAAAAAAAAGAAAAGAAAAGAAAAGAAAGAAAGAAAGAAAGAAAAAAAGAAACGAGAGTGAAGAAAACAGTGGGACAATAAGTAGGAAACCTCAACGGGGTGTGAGGACAAGTTCTCCAGGATTAAGTGGATAAGACGGAGGTTGGCCCTTAAGATTTGGAACAGGTTCAACAGAGAGGAATAGCAAGGTTTAAGGGATGGTTCCTGACGTCTAAGGGCGCATTTAATATATTTTCAAGGCTAAGGTGGGGCAAGATCTGGAGGAGAGAGGATGGTACCCCAAGTGTTATCCTGCATTGACAGGTCAATAGACAGTACAGCCACATGGGAACGGAGCAGGTGTGGACAGAACGCATGGCTCCCCAGGGAGGCCAGTATTTTTCCATGAGGATGCAAGAGTGAAAAGCCTGGGAGATTCCATGAAGAGCTGAGGGGCTTCTGAGCCACAGCTTAAACCTTAACCCTCCTCCTCCCAGATACATTCAAATCCAAGTAGTGACAATGATCCTAGTAAGACCTGCGCTTCCCTGGCTACCGTCTATCAAGGAATGCCACTGTCTACCTGTAGGCAGTGTGCATTGGATTGGGTTCTCTGCGGGGTCTTGCTGATCTTAAAGAGAATGCAGGGGCCCTATGAGACTCACCTCTGTACCCCCAGCACATAACAGGTGCTCAACACATTCGCAAGGGGAACGCCGAGCAAAGCGGAGGCCCGGGTTCCCTCCTGGAGAAACCTGCTTCCCCTCCACGGTCTCAAGCGTCCCCTCCTTCCTTGACCTCAGTCATTGATTTCCGCTGCACTTCCTATCCCTGGGGGAGCTTTCAACGCTCCGCCGTTCAGGCCGCCGGTCCCCGCAGCCCGGGCCCCGCTCTCTAGGGCTGGGCCCCCCGGCGGCCCTGGACTGGCCCTGCAGACGACCTCTCTCGCCTGCGCTTCCTCAAGCGTAAATCGGGCGGCGGGGGCTGCAGGGCCTTCATCTCTTCCTCTGTTCCGCGATGTCGGAGAGACCGCAGCCCAGCCTCTGCCACCGCAGAGCTGCTTATCCGGCAGCGCGACTCCCTCGGGCACCGTTGGATGCCGTTGCTTACCGTTAGGCAAGTGTTTTAAGAAGCACGAGCATGTCCAGTGTCAAATGCTGCAAAGGGCTCAGAGCTCGCGACCAAGGGGTGTGGCCTCCGGGCCGCGAAGGCCTCTGGGAGTTGTAGTCCTGCCTCGGGCTGCGGTGGCCTCTTAAAAAAAAAAAAAATCTGGCCCTTGGGTCCGTCGCTGCCTCGGTGTCCCTGTCGGGCTTCCCAGCAGCGGCCTAGCGGAAAAGTAAAAGATGTCTGAATATATTCAGGTAACCGAAGATGAGAACGATGAGCCCATTGAAATACCATCGCAAGACGATGGGACGGTGCTGCTGTCCACGGTTACCGCACAGTTTCCAGGGGCGTGTGGGCTTCGCTACAGAAATCCAGCGTCTCAATGTATGAGAGGTGTACGGCTGGTAGAAGGAATTCTGCCTGCCCCCGATGCTGGCTGGGGAAATCTGGTGTATGTTGTCAACTATCCGAAAGATAACAAAAGAAAAATGGATGAGACAGTTGCTTCATGAGCAGTGAAAGTGAAAAGAGTAGTCTAGAAAACATCCAATTTAACAGTGTTGGGTCTCCCGTGGGGAACAACTGAACAGGGCCTGAAAGAGTATTGCAGTACTTTTGGAGAAGCTCTTGTGGTGCAACAAAGCCAAGATGGGCCTTTGAGAAGCAGAAAAGTGTTTGTGGGGTGCTGTACAGAGGACATGACTGAGGATGAGCTGCGGGAGTTCTTCTCTCAGTGTGGGGATGTGATGGATGTCTTCATCCCCGAGCCATTCAGAGCCTTTGTCTTTGTTACATTTGCAGATGGTCAGATGGCGCAGTCTCTTTGTGGAGAGGACTTGATGATTAAAGGAATCAGAGTTCATATATATCCAATGCCGAACCTAAGCACAATAGCAATAGAAAGAAGTGGCAGATTTGGTTGTAATCCAGGTGGCTTTGGGAATCAGGGTGCATTTGGTAACAGTAGAGGGGGTGGAGCTGGTTTGGGAAACAATCAAGGTAGTAATACGGGTGGTGGGATAAACTGTGGTGCATTCAGCATTAATCCAGCCATGATGGCTGCTGCCCAGGCAGCGCTACAGAGCAGTTGGTGTATGATGGGCATGTTAGCCAGTCAGCAGAACCAGTCAGGCCCATCAGGTAAGAACCAAAGCCAAGGCAACATGCAGAGGGAGCCAAACCAGGCGTTCGGTTCTGGAAATAACTCTTATGGTGGTTCTAATTTTGGTGCGGCAATTGGCTGGGGATCAGCATCAAATGCAGGGTTGGGCAGTGGTTTTAATGGAGGCTTTGGCTCAAGCATGAATTCTAAGTCTTCCGGCTGGGGAATGTAGACAGTGGGGTTGGGGCTGGTTGGTATAGAATGGTTGGAATTCAAATTTTTCTAAACTCATGGTAAGCATATTGTAAAATACATATGTGCCATGAATTTTCAAAATTGGTTTGTTCAGTGCGGAGTATATTCAGCAGTATTTTTGACATTTTTCTTTAGAAAAAGGAACAGCTAAAGGAATTTTATAAGTTTTGTTACATGAAAGGTTGAAATAGTGAGTGGTTGAAAGTGAACTGCTGTTTGCCTGATTGGTAAACCAATACACTACAATTGGTAGTAAAATGTTTCTCCTGTAATATGTTATCCCTGGACTTGTCAAGTGAATTCTTTGCATGTTCAAAATGGAAACCATGGATTAGAACTACATCCTTTACCCCTTGTTTTAATTTGAACCCCACCATATGGATTTTTTTCCTTAAGAAAATCTCCTTTCAGGAGATCATGGTGTCACAGTGTTTGGTTCTTTCACTTTGTTTTTTAACATTTGTCTCCCCTTAAATACAAAAGTACAATATGAAGCCTTCATTTAATCTCTGCAGTTCATCTCATTTCAAATGTTTATAGAAGAAGCACTTCATTGAAAGTAGTGTTGTAAATATTGTGCCATAGGAATACTTTTTATTTTTCGAGATGGAGTCTTGCTCTGTCGCCCAGGCTGGAGTGCAGTGGTGCGATCTTGGCTCACTGCAAGCTCCGCCTCCCAGGTTTATGCCATTGTCCTGCCTCAGCCTCACGAGTGGCTGGGACTACTGGCTAGAAGACACTATGCCCAGCTTTTTTTTTTTTTTTTTTTTTTTTTTTCTTTTTGGAGAGATGGGGTTTCACTGTGTTGGCCAGGATGGTCTCAATCTCCTGACCTCGTGATCCGCCCGCCTCGGCCTCCCAAAGTACTGGGATTACAGGCATGAGCCACAGCGCCCGGCCAGGAATACTTCTGTCTACATGCTTTCTCATTCAAGAATTCGTCATCATGCATCACAGCCCGCGTCTTTGATGGTGGGTGTCCCATTTTTATCTGCTACTCTTTATTTCATGGAGTTGTATCAACGCTATGAACGCAAGGCTATGATATGGAACCAGAAGGCTGTTTGAACCTTCGAAACCTTGTGTGGGATTGATGGTGGTGCCGAGGCATGAAAGGCTAGTGTGAGCGAGGAAAGGAGAGAGTGCGTGCAGAGACTTGGTGGTGCGTAATGGATATTTTTTAACTTGGCGAGATGTGTCTCTCAATCCTGTGGCTTTGGTGACAGTGTGCAGAGAGCAATGATAGCAAATAATGTACGAATGTTTTTTTGCATTCAAAGGACATCCACATCTTTTGGAAGATTTTAAGTGAGTTTTTGTTCTTAGATAACCCACATTATTTGAATGTGTTAAGTGAAACGATACTTATACTCCCCCCACCCCTTTGTCAACTGCTGTGAATGCTGTGTGGTGTATGTTCTCTTCTGTTAACTGACATGTAAGTCTGGAAATATGAACTGAAACTGATGGGTTGAGAATATGGACTGAGCTTGTGGTGTGCTTTGGAAGAGGACTTGGAAGCGGAGTTCACCAGTGAGCTCTGGTGTCTCAAAGAAAGGGTGGAAGTTCTAATGTCTGTTAGCTACCCATGAGAATGTTGTTTGCTGCAGTTCTGTGTCCTGTGCTTGGATGCTTTTTATAAGAATTGCCATTGTTGGAAATTCTTAAATAAAACTGATTTAAATTAAAAAACAAAAACAAAACACTAAGTAGAGGAGTAGGAACTACATCTCCCATGAGGCCCCGCTGCTCGCCTCTGGCGGGGCGGGGTTGGGGGGCGTGGTCAAGGCATCGGCTGTTCCGAGCGCCTCCGAGTGCATGGCGCCCCGCCCCGAACCTGGCTCCAGGGGGCTCGGGGATTCCCCAGCGCCGTCTCAGGGCAGTCCCGACCGAAGGGCTCAAGGGCTGGGCTCGCGGGCAGATCGAGACCGTCCGGGTCCTGGCTCTCCGGTCACTTGCAGAGGCCTGAGTTCCGAGCACAGCGTAGGGAGGGCTGGAAGGGAGGAGCCCCGGGGGGGCGGCGGTGCTGAGCCGGGCAGAGTCTTGAAGGTCGCAGTCAGGACGGCCGTGGAGTGGGAGGGGAGTCAGAGGCCTGCTGCGGAGGCCCAGGTTAGAAACGCGGCTGCCTTGGACTTGGTCGGTGGCAAAGACGACACGTGGAGGCAGGGCTTAGAAGCAGAGCTCGGCCGGGCGCGGTGGCTCACGCCTGTAATCCCACCACTTTGGGAGGCCGAGGCGGGCAGATCACGAGGTCAGGAGATCGCGACCATCCTGGCTAACACGGTGAAACCCCGTCTCTACTAAAATTACAAAAAACTAGCCGGGCTTGGTGGTGGGCACCTGTAGTGCCAGCTACTCGGGAGGCTGAGGCAGGAGAAATGCTTGAACCCAGGAGGCGGAGGTTGCAGTGAGCCGAGACTTCGCCACTGCACTCCAGCCGGGGCGACAGAGCGAGACTCCGTCTCAAATAATAATAATAATAAAAAATAAAAATAGAAAAAGAAGTAGCGCTCATGGGCTTGGCTGATTGGAAGTGGGATGGCAGGAAGAGGGTGAACTTGAGGGTGATGTCTAGATTTTTTTGCTCAATCCATGGGGTGCCAAGAAGTGGTGATGGCTGAGGATCTGTTGTTTTGGTGGTGGTGTGAGCCCATCTGACATCTTTTTTTTTTTTTTTTTTTTTTTTTTTTTTTTGAGACGGAGTCTCGCTCTGTCGCCCAGGCTGGAGTGCAGTGGCGCAATCTTGGCTCACTGCAAGCTCTGCCTCCCGGGTTCACGCCATTCTCCTACCTCAGCCTCCCGAGTAGCTGGGACTACAGGCGCCCGCCACTGCGCCCGGCTAATTTTTTTCTATTTTTTAGTAGAGACGGGGTTTCACCATGGTCTCGATCTCCTGACCTTGTGATCCGCCCGCCTCGGCCTCCCAAAGTGCTGGGATTACAGGCGTGAGCCACCGCGCCCGGCGAGCCCATCTGACATCTAAGTGCAGTCATTGAGTGGACAGGAGAATAGAGAGGAGACAGCCACCTGGAGAGGGGCTTTGAATCAAGAGTACAGGATTGGCAAAAAGGGCCGAATGGAGTCACTGGGTGTGGGGGTGGCAGGGAAGACTGAGGACAAAGCCTTGGGAAGGACACATCCAGTTGGAGGTTGGCAGGGAGGAGCATTGAGTACAGGGGACTGAGGATGACCAATGAGGTAGAAGGAAGGCTAGTGTGGTGCCCTTGAGGTTGGAGGAGGAGCCTCCAGTAACCCAGGAGAGGTGAAGTTGACATGCAGACATGCCCACTGGGTTGCGAAGCATGCTTATCACTGGAGATTTTGACTGTGCAGTTTCAGTGGAAGGGTGGCCAATAGCTTGATTGGAAAGGAATGAAGAGGAATGAGATGTGTGGAAGTGGAGGCAGTAAGTGTAGATGACGCTTTCAAGGAATTTTGCTTTAGAGCAAAGAAATGAGGCAGAGGCTAACAGTATGTCAGATCCAGGGAGGTTTTTCTGAGTGAAAGTATTCATATTACAGCCTGTTTGTATGTTAATGAGAATGATCCAGAAGGGAGGCAAAGCTAGTGGTGCAGTGGAGAGCAGAGTCCCTGAGCAGGTGAGCAGGGATGGGGGCCCATGCCCATGTGGGAAGCGGGCGCCACACTGCTTCACGATGGAAGGCAGAACGCCTGGGCCAGGGCGCAGGCAGGTGTCACAGACAGAGAATGTCCTTCATGACCACATCCTAATTCCCAGAACCTGCAAATATGCCAGTTTATATGGCAAAAGGGACTTTGCAAATGTGATTAAGAATTAAGCTAAAGACCTTCATACAAGATTATCCTGGATTCTCCAGGGGCGGAGGGGAGGCGGCCGGTGTTATCACAAGGATCTTTAAAAGTAGAAGGAAGGAGAAGACGTGACCATGGAAGAAGGGTCAGAGAGATGCAACGCTTCCAAGGAACTTTGAGGATGGAGGAAGGGACCGTCCTCCTAGGAATGTGGGTGGCCCCTGAATGAAGACAGGGCAGGAGAAGGAACACAGCACTGCCTGCCAACACCTTGATCTTAGCCCAGTGAATCCTGACAGACTTCTAACCGTGGAACTGCAACATCATAACCGTGTGTTTGAAGCCACCAAGAGGGTAGTCATTGGTTTTGGCAGACATAGAAAACTAATACAGTGGGTCAGGGATTCGGATGGGAAGGAGACAGCCCTCAGAGAATGGCTTGTGGGGAGCCTGGGGGCTCTGGGAGAGAGGAGCTGGTGTGAAACAACCAGCTGGCTGGGAAGCTGGTGGCCCCGGCCGCCCCACAGGCAAGAGCAGCTCTCAGCCCCAGGAGACCAACAGTGGTCACTGGTGTGGGAGCCAGTTTACATTTCCAAAAGAAGCTGCACTTGAGGATTACTGTGAAGCTGACTTCAGGGCTGGAGGGACACGGGGCCAGAGTTCTGGGTTAGTGGCTTCTGACCCTGGTCCTAGCAACACTGTTACTCCAGGTCAGCCTCCTGCACCCTGCCTCCTGGGCTTCCCCCTTGACCCCCTCCTAGGGCCTCTGGGAAGGTGTGATGAGTGGATTTCAGAGGTGAAATTTGTTCCTTTGAAGTAGTCCGTGGCTGATGCTCCCTGAATGACATGAGAGCTCATTGGCATGGCCTCTGGGTGGTATTTGGGAGCCAGGGCTTTCAGGATGGCCCGTTATCCATCCGTGTCCCTGTGGGCACATCCTACATCAGTCTGTCTGAGGAAATAAAAATAATCCCAGGAATGATATTTCCATTGCTCAAGTCGGGCGCTGGCTCCTCACTGCCCCAACAGCTCAGCTCCAGATTATAAAGTTAAAGCTGCATTTGGTTATAGCCCTATGATTGAATTGAGGTGAGCCAGAGCGAACCCCAAACTTTGAAATGCCCCTGGTGGCCAGGATCTGCTTGGGGGCATAAAGGGGCTGCTGGGAAAGGTGTTCTTAAGGCAAAAGCACATGTCCAGAGAGGAGACCCTGATGTCAATCCTAAGTTGTCACACCTCGGCCCTAGCCTAGGGACTGCCAACCCCCAGTGAGAAGCTGCTGCTTTGGGGTCCTGGAGCAGGAGGATGGGGCTAGGCTAACTGTGGTGGTGACTTCAGCCGGCTGACCACGTGCTATCTGCATGTTTCGCCCAGCCCAACAGGGCAGGCTCCTGCACCCCAGCTGCCCATCCTGCCACCCTCCATCCCTGAGGGTTCTGACCTCCTGGACCCAGTTTGACCTAAGGCTCAAGCCCCCCGGGGCCTTGGTACTTTCATTTCGGGCTACAAACTGGGTGGGTCTCCTTGACCCTGAAGTCAATGGCACCAGTGGGGAAGCTCCTTCTTCGTTCAAGATAAGCGACAACCTCACACAAGTAGACTGATGTCTACGTCGTGCTTGTGGGTCCTAAAACAGGTCTTTGAAAGATACTTGCAAGCCAAATGGGTAGCAATTAGGCATTATTTAATTATTCCTGAAGCTCATGAACAAGAAAATGGCACAGAGACAGGTCATCTCCCTATCGCTGAGTTACCCTGGAGACAAGCCTCGTGCAAACAAAATCCTTCTCCAGGACACACACAATGCCCAAGAACAGGCTGGGCCTGAGGACCTGCCTAGCATCGGGGGGCAGAAGCACTGCCTGCTGCAGAGACAGCCACGAGTGCATCCCCACCGCCACCACACTGCTCACCCTGCTGAGAAAGGGTGAGGTTTTAAACGATATTCACCAGCCTCAGATGCAGGGGAATGTGCTTAGTTTAGCATTTACACATCTGACACATTAATGACATATCACTCAACAATACTTCAAGGGTAACTAACTCAAAACTTCTTTATTTAGTAAAATTGTCACATTTGATGTCAATGGAATACACAAACTCAAGTGTGCTACAAACAAGATGTACAGAGCCTCACAGCTCTGGGCAGTGCTGCAGAGTGCACCTGCCTCTCGTCTCCCCGCTGAAGTGGCAAGTTCAAGCTTTTGTTTAACCCAGGGCTGCCTGGAACACTAATGCCCAGCACCATTCCTGCCACCTCTGCCCCCAGGGCCGGCACAGGGCTAGTGAAGGCTGGGCGGGTGAACCTGGGACAACGCTGGTAGCTCTACAAGATTCTTCCTCCCGCCTGTAGCTCCCTCCCTCTACCCACCCCAGAGCTGCAGGGCCCCTAAAAGTTTCTTAAGAAACGGGGCTGAGGCCTGACTGGGCTGGTCACCAGGGGCTGCCCTGCAAGCCGTCCATCGGAGGAGGGAGGGAAGACCTGGGAGACTTCCAAGGCGCCCTACCCCACCACATCTGAACCCCTGGGAGGAGGGAGGAGATCCAGGGAGGGCCGGGCCCACCCCTGCAGGGCTCTGGCTGGCATTGGTCACCAAGGCCTCCAGACACTCTGGGCAATTTGGGCTGCGGTCAGGCTGCCCAGGGCTGTGGGCACCAAGTCAGACCCCTCAGCAGGAGCCCGACTCAGTTCAGCCTCAGGGGCCTCCTCCAGGTCGGAGCACAGGTCGTCCCCGGGACCAGGGAGGCTGGGTATCGGGGATCCCGGAGCCCCTCCCGCCGGCCAGCCACTCCGCCCAGGGACTCCAGGTGGCCCCGCCAGGGCGTCCCCCAGCAGATCCTGGAAGTTGCTGCCCTCACGCAGCGGCATGGACTCGAGCAGATGGTTCAGGAGCTCGGCAGCGACGGTGGCGTCGATGGCCTGGCACGTGGACACGAACGTGTGCACCTCGTGCATGCACTGGATGTAGCCGGCAGCGAAGCGCTCGCTCGCTTCCGCCTGCAGCTGCTCGCGCTCTGGGCCCGAGGGTGGGAGGGAGAGAGCCGCGTCCCGCGCGGTGAGCGGCGACTGCGTGGCCCAGCCCACCCGGCCCGCGGGGACGCTGCTCACCCAGGAGACGCGGGGGCGCACCCTGCTCCGGGGGGAGCCCTCGCCGCCAACAGGACAGGGGCGCCGGGAGGGAAGTCCTCCGTCTGGCGGGGGTTGCAGGCGCCCGCGGCCGGCGCCCCCGCCCGCCCCGCCGCCACTCACCGCGCGCCCGGCCCCGCAGCACACCCTGGACCCGCCGCACAGTCAGCTCCAGCACCTCGGCGTTCTCCAGCTTGGCCTGCACCTGCGCGGGCGGGAAGGGCGGTGAGCCGGCAGCACGCTCCCGGACCCGCCCGCCAGCCCGCCCGCCCCGCAGCCCCACGGCGCCTGCCCGGCCGCCGCACCTCGGCGCCTGCCAGCAGCAGCCGCAGCTCCTGCAGGCTCTCGTTGATCCGTGCGCGCCGCTTCTTCTCCACCAGGGGCTTCCGGGCCTGCGGGGAGACGGGCACTGAGTCCCAGCCCCGCACGGCCTCCCGCCCGCTTGCTTGCCCACGGCCCCAGCCCGCACCTTGCGGTCTCCCCGCGTCTCCCAGCCGTCCTCATCCTCACGGCCCACACGGTCCCGGCCAGGCGCCGCGGGTGGCGCCATGCCCGCTCCGCTGGGGGCGCGGCGGGGACTGGGAGCAGCGGGGACGGAGAGCGGCGGGGACCGGAGCGCCGGCGCCTCAGCTGCACCGCAGCCGCCCAGCCGTCCGCGCTCCTCGCGGCTTCCGGCCCGCCGCGGCCCCGCCCCTTTTATAGTCGCTTATTTGCATCTCAATGCGCCGATTGGTCGCGCGGGCCAGGGGCCGCCGACCGCGAGGCGCGCTGCAGCCAATCGGGGCAGCGCGCTTTGTGCGGCCCCGCAGCTCTGACGGGCGGCAGCTGGCTGAGCTAGGCTGGGCCCCCAGCCCGGCCTTCCCGAGACCCCCGCGGGGGCGGCACCGGGGCGGCGACCCCGGGGAGCTGCGGCCCTGCCTGCGCTTGTTTCTCTCCGTCTGCTGCTCTAGGACCACTGATCTGCCGCGCGTGCGAGCAGGCGTCCACCCGTCCGTCGGTCCGTCCACTCATTCATTCACTCATTAATTCATTCATTTCCCTCCTTCACCGATGGCGCCTCCAGAGCTGAGCGCTCGGGCCACGGGCCCCAGGAGCTGCTTCCCTGGGGTGCAGAGCCACAGCCAAGTCCCTGGTTTCCGGACCTAGAGGGGTCTCAGGTCCCGGCTGGGGTGGCTGCCAAGTCCGGGGGAGGCAGGGTCCATTGGGCAGTGGTGGCGGGGCGGCTCGTGAGTTTCCTCCGGACTCGTCCAGACGCCGGGCCGGACCCCCGACGCCGCCCTCCGTCAGCACTGGAGTCCTAGAGGGGCGGGGTCCCCTGTGCTCCCGCCCGCGCCGCTCTCCCCGTGGGCTCTGCTCTCCGGGTCACTACCCGCGTCCCCCTCTGAGCTCCCCCATCTCCCCCTAGTCCCCGTTGGCCCCCTGGGGCCCCTCCCTCCCTTCCCCTGCACCCCGCCCGCCTCCCTCCTCCCCTTCTCCGCCCCTCCCCCCCCCACAGGCCCGCCGAAGCTGCCGTCTGGTCCCCGTAACTTGATGCCTGTGACAGTTGGCAGCTGCGGCCGCTTCGGCGGAGAAAAGCGGCGGCCGCGCCAAGAGCGACAGGTGTTGGCCGCGCCTTTGTCTCGCGCGCTTTGTCCCGCGGGCAGGCGGCGGGCGCTTGTCCCGACTAGACGCCCGCGACCCCCACATCGCGGCGGGCCGCCCATCTGCCGGGTCCCTCCTAGCCGCGGGCGGGGTGCGTGGGCAGTGGGGCCGCGCCCTAGGGCAACGCCCTGGGGACCCCGGCCGGGCTCCTGCGACGTCAGTCCAGACGCTGCGTGGAGGAGCCGGAACGCGGAGACGCCTTCTCGGACCCCAGCCAGCCGACCACCAGCCTGCCCTGCACAGCACCTGCCTTCTTCAGTCCCCTCTACTCACCCGTGCTGGGATCGTCAGGGTCTGTTCGGAGCCCCTCCAGGCTATAAGCGTCCCTGGATAAGGGCACAGTCTGACCTAGGACCCCCTGTCCACCTCCCTGCACCCCCAGCAGAGCCTGGCCTCACAGAAGCGCTGCTAGGTAGGGAAGGTGAGGGGTGTCCCTGGCAGGATGGGCTGGAAGGCCGCGTGGGAGGGGAACATCACGGGACCCCAGCAGCTGAGCGCAGCGACAGGACTAGGCTGCAGACCTGCCCCCCACTGCCCCTAGAGAGATCTGACCGGCCTCCCACGGCCCCTTTACTTCTGCCTCTCCACCAGAGGGACCCCTGCAGGCTTCCTGCTGGGTGAGTTTGGTGAGAGGTTTGAAGGCTCCCAAAGTCACCTAAGTCACCTCACTGACCTCTGTAATTACCTGGGACCCCCTCCTGCCCGCTCCCAACTGTCCCTGCTCTGGCTCTTGGTTGCTCTGTGAGCAGGGTCCTGAGATTTCCCCCAGCCCAGCATCACTCACCTGGGTGTGAAACTACCCCTTTACTTCACACACTCCCCACCTGCCCAGTAGTGGGGCTGGCAGGGTGGGGCTGGAGTGGTGGATCCCAAGGAAGTGGATTATTGTTCTGTGACTTTACTGTCCTTCACCACTTAGATATCACCCCAGGGAAGGAGAACGCCCACTTCCCCAAGTGACTACAATGACATTTCCACTACTTTGAGAAACTGTGATAGGGAAAAATAAACTCACTGATATTTCTTGTACTCCCAAGTTTGCAAACTGATTTACACTCCTCTCATTATCCAAACGAACAATGCTCTCATCCTAAAACGTCTGCTTTATGTTAGGCAATTTATATTGCAACAGGATGATCAGGGCCCCAAAAGAGGACTTTGGGTAAAGCCTGATTGAACACTTGATTGGATGGGGAACTGGATTTCAGGGGCAAGGAGGACATGATAAAGGCAAATGGTGCAAGCAAAAAAAAAAAAAAAAAGAAAGAAAGAAAAAGAAAAGCAACTAGGAACTCTAGGGAAAACAAAAGCTTCCCAAGAAAAGAAATGTAATCTTAGCACATTACTTGGCTCAGGAGACAACAGTTTTCACAGCCACAACAATGTAACACTGTTCAGAGGGTTTTAACGTTTAGAATTAATCTATACGGAAGGCAAGGAAGGATTGTTTATGGTTATGGGACATGATATAAAGTTGACCTTGTAAAAACAAAAGACAGGTGATAGGAGTTATGAGAGAGGAGGCTAAAGGGAGGACTAGGGACCTCAAAAGCCTTGTCTGACAGTGGAGTGGGTGGGGGTTGAGGGAAGGAGAATAGAGAAGGCTGTACATCAGCAAAATCCTTCTTGGTTGGACGGGAAGTTGCCCAAGGTCCCCTCTGCAAGGTCAGCTTCAATCCCCTTTAGCAGTGCACTGGTCTGCTGGCATGGCCTTTTTGTCCCAGAAGCCTGGCCTATCTTGGGGTCACCAAGCCCTCCCTCCCTCCTTCACAGCAGCCTCCCCTAGCCAACACTTCCTGCCGTTTGTCCCTTGGGCCAGTCCTGCCTTCAAAGTTTGTCTGAGTATGGACTTCCTGAGCATTTGAGCCCTTTGATCTCCCTAGAGCCAGGAACAGAGGCCAACAGAGGCTGGGCAGGGTGGTGGTTGCTGCGGGGGACCAGTTAGCAGTGGGGGTAGCAGGCCATAAATCCCTGGGGGGAACAAAGGCAGCTGCGGCCTGTAGACTGTCCAGGCCCCTTGTGGGCAATCTGCCCAGGAGACTCAGAATCTCCATTTAATTTGGAAATAAAACCCTTGGGGTTATATGGTAAATAAAAATATAATTAAGAGTCTCCCAAAAGCACCCAGAGGTTCAGTGAAACCACCATATCTGGCCATTTAGGGCAGTTTGCAGAGGCCTCTGTGCTTGCTAGGAGGACTTTGCCTTTTATCCCATCAGCACTTGGAGTTAGGAAGCCAGGCTAGCAGGCAGAGGAGAGCCCCTCCCTTCTGCTCAGGGAGCTTCTCTGAGCGGGGGCATTGGGTTCAGGATCCATTCAGCTCTCTGTTTCCACCCCCAGGGTCATGGTTTGAAGAGTGGGAGGGGTGGCGAGCAACTCTTAGGGCTTCCACAGTTTTGGCCTCACAAGGCTTCATTCATCACTGTGAGAGAAGGGCTGGGGTCAGGGGACTATGCTGCCCTGCCCATATCGTTCACAATGGATACATGTGACCTTTCTGGTGGAGCCTCCTAACTGCCCCACCTTTAACCCCACCTAGCCTGATGACCCGAAGACAGGCAGCCAGCCTGGAAAGGCCAGGTAACCCAGGGCAGCGATGCAGGGAAGAGAGAGGTGCGTGGAGGCAGAGCTGGGGGTACTCTGGAGCTGAGCCAGACAGCTGCACCCCTCCAGTTGAAAGTGAAGACTGTGGGTCATAACACGATTAGGTTTGCATTACACAAAGTTCATTTCTGCAACCTGAAGGAGGGTGTGTGTGTGACACACACAGGAAGAAAGGGAGCCAGCAACAATCAAACGCTATAAGGGAGCTGACCGCGAGGCAGCCTTTGGGATGTAAGATTCTTTAATGCAGAATTTCTGGAGTTCCTTTAAAAAATTTTTTTTTAATAATCTTTGATCTCTATTCAGGTTTTCTTCTGTGCTATGTGAAAAATACATACAAGTAAAAATAAAAATATACTTGCTTTATTTACCAATTTTCTAAAAGGCAAACAGGTCATAAAAAGACACAAGCAGTCAAACAAATCTATTGCACTGGGTAAAGAAAGTTTGGTTTGCACACGAACAAACCACTTGTCCAGCAAGGCTCAACAAATCATCACACAAACTCTGAGAGCTTATTTACATATATTTTTTAGGAATATATTAAAAAGAAGGCTCAGTTTAAAATAGAGAAAAAGTGTTTAACACCTGTATAAGCACACACACTAAAGAAAACATGACTTGATGCTTGGCATCATGTAAACAAATTCACAAGATGATCCTATTAAGTCAACTGCTTGGCACGCGCTGAAGCTACAATCAATGAGCATATATTAAATAACAAAATAATGCTGATGGTAAACATTCATAACAGCAGAGTAAGATTTTGGCAGTTTTGTGTTTCAGTAACATACATGTAACCTTAGATTAACACCTATCCCTTCATGATCTGACTTTAGAGGCAAGAAGCAGTTTGTAACAGCTAATTGCCGTTAAGAATGCAGACTGCTACCTTATCGTAGGCCTAGGCAGGTGATGTTACTTTGTAAATTAACGAAAAATTAAAGTGTTCTTGTGTTTATGAAAAATAGGTTTAATATTCAGGCATAAGATGGTTTTACTATGAAAACCTAGTGGATTACAAAGAGATTTCACTTCCATCAAAAAACAGAAAACCCTGGTCCAGGTCGGGCGTGGTGGCTCACGCCTGTAATCCCAGCACTTTGGGAGGCCGAAGTGGGTGGATCACTTGAGGTCAGGAGTTCGAGACCAGCCAGGCCAACATGGCGAAACCCTGTCTCTACTAAAAATACAAAAAATTAGCTGGGCGTGGTGGCAGGCGCCTGTAGTCCCAGCTACTCAGGAGGCTGAGGCAGAAGAATCACTTGAACCTGGGAGGCAGAGGTTGCAGTGAGCCGAGATGGTGCCACTGCACTCTGGCCTGGGCAACAAGAGAGAAACTCCATCTCAAAAAAAAAGAACAAAAAAGAAAAAAAGAAAACCCTGGTCCCTTTTAAGCCTCATAGTCTTGGTCAAATTTTAAGTCAACTGTTCTTCAGTGATAACTGTGAATTCCCACCAGGGATGAATATTAAATTTTCCAAACCATCTTTGGAATATACAATGCAACATGAGGTTTTGTAAAAAGTTGGGCAGACTGGCCTCACTTTTCCCCAAGTATCCAAATGACTTAAAAAGTGCTGGGGACACTGGCAGAGGCCTAAAGCTGCTCCGAGAGAGGTCGGGCTCATGAAAAGAATGAGGGCTGGGCACCCAACCCAGGGTGCAGCGGGAGAGGTAAGCTCACTGCACCCCTGAAAATAAAGACGCAGTTGCAAGCTGTGGGACTGAGTGGCAGTGGCTGCTCTCAGCCAGAAGATGTGATGTGGGCTTGGCTGGGTGGAAGCTGATGTCTGGGTGGCTCCAACGGAAGAAGACCAAACAGGACTGGGTCCCACATGTGTTGGTCACAGCCTGGTTTGCAGAGGGAAGTCACCATAAAGAGATGACTGATGACATATTTCAATCTCCATATTGGCCATCATGGTCTGAAAAGGAGACAAGAACGATGCAGAAATATGCAGAGGGTCTGCGTGTGCATTCATCCGATGGAGTTGGCCACACAAACCACTAGGCTTCTTTAGTCCAGAGCAAATGTTTCAACTTTGTTCACTACAAAAAGCTGTCAGATTGAAATATGGACCACACCAGAAGCCAAAGCTGTTGGTTTGCCAAACAATGCTTCACACCATTTAATGTGAAACGTTTTGAAAGAAAACTAGGAGAGGCTGCTATCTCCACTTGGTATGTAAAAAAAAAAAAAAGCTAAACTACCTTGACTAAATGATAATTCAGATAAAAAGCAGTCCCCAAGAGAGGACAAAATTTGATCTGATCCAAACACCCTGGGAAAACTCTGGAAGCCAGAGTCCCCAACTGGTGCAGCAGACAGAGGTCTCATCACAGTCACAAGACTTCTGGGAGCACTGAGGCAACTTCCCTGACACGAAGAGGCGTTTAGTCTTTCTCAAGTTAAATAACAGCTAAAGTCTCTTCCCATCCCACAAAACTCAACATATATATTTTATATATAAAAACGTATTTCTTTCCAAACCCTCCCCACTCTCCACAGTTTTAAGTCACCCCTTCAGAAAACTATGTTTGTTTGTTTTTTTCTAAAACAAAAAAAGCAACATGAGCATATGTGTCCATTTCAGTGGAAACAGCCATGAAGATCTTTCATCTCCTCCAAGCACCACCTGTGTATGTAGCTTGCTGGCTGCCGGGCTGAGGTGGGGCAGGGGTTACGTCTGCTCTTCGATCCTGTGATTCAAGGGGGATCCATTTTCGTCTTCTTTGGTGTCCGACACTTCGCTGAGTCCCAGAGAAGGAATATCTTCTTCATATGGTATGCAAATATTACCTTTTTCCTTGTTTTCACAGTAAACACATTCCTTAGAAGAAAAAAAAAAGTGAAATCAGTAACAAACTTGAGATCTGAGTTGTTACAAAAGTCATTCAAACTGGCTGGGTGCAGTGGCTGATGCCTGTAATCCCAGCACTTTGGGAGTCCAAGGCGGGCGGATCACGAAGTCAGGAGATAGAGACCATCCTGGCTAAAACGGTAAAACCCCGCCTCTATTAATAATACAAAAAATTAGCGGGGCGTGGTGGCGGCGCCTGTAGTCCCAGCTACTCGGGAGGCTGAGGCAGGAGAATGGTGTGAACCCGGGACACAGACCTTGCAGTGAGCGGAGATCGTGCCACTGCACTCCAGCCTGGATTGAGACTCCGTCTCAAAAAAAAAAAAAAAAAAAAAAAAGAAAAAGAAAAAGAAAAAAAAAAGTCAAACTGAGTAAGGGGCAGGTGACCAGGTGTCAGCCAGGAGGCAGCCGGCAGCAAAGGCCAAAATCCCTGCCCCAGGAGCTGGCACTTTAGTAGCAGAGAGGGACAATGACTAAGAAGGGCTCCAGAGGCATAGAGTATATGGAGGACATCTGTGATTTTCAACTGGACATTCACAGCAGACCACAGAAAAGGTGACACAATGGTTTTGAAACGCATCCACACTCTTTGCCACTTCTCCCTCAAAAGGTGGGGCCTAATTCCTTTCTCCTTAACCCTTGGCTGGACTTGGGCATTTGCCTCTAACAGAGTATCTGACTTCTGATTCTAAGTCCTAAAGGCACCTTGGCTTCCTCTTTTTCTCTCTGGGGAAGTCACCTGCCACACTGTGAGGACATCCAGGCAGCCCTACGGACAGGTCCTCACGGCAAGAAGCTGAGGCCTCTGCCAAGAGCCAGCAGCGCATGACAGGCCTCCAAGTGAGGCTCCTGGAAGCTGGTCCTCCAGTTAGCAGGTGACAGAAGCCCCCACCAGTATCTTACCATCAACATCAGCAACGACCCTAAGCTAGAAGCACCCAGCTAAGCCGCTCTCAAATTCCTGACCCAAAGAGACCATGCAAGAGAATACATGTTTGTTGTTGAAGTCACTAAGTGTTGGGCCATCTGCCATGCAGCAAGAGATTACTAATGCAGCAGCAGGTGGAAAACAGACTCTAAGGCAGCCAGGGTGAGCCACAGGTCTCTTTGAGGAAAAAGGATTCCAAGCAAAGGGCTGGGTACATGTGAAGATCCTGTGGCAGGGGCCTGCCAGGGCAGTCCGGGAAACAGCCAAGGGGCCAGCGTAACTGGAGAGGAGGGAAGGAGAGGAGAAATGGGAGATGAGGTAGATGTGGATGGGCGGTCAGACGTGTATGACTTTGCAACCATTTATTCTGATTGAGGTGGCACAGTGCTGGCAGGGATCTGAACTGTGGGGGACAGATTCTGACTGAGGTGACATGGGGAGCAGTGAGTGCAGCTTCGAGGCCACTCTGACATGCAGGGCTCATGCCATGGAAGCATCCTCACGGCTTGGACCTGTGTGGTGATGCTGAAGGCACTAAATGATGGGCTTCTATCTACCTTCAAGGTTGAACCCAGACAATATGCCAACTAACTGGCTGGGGCCTGAGAGTAGAGCCTGGGATGCCTCCAGGGCTTGCAAGGCGTGAGGGGGTGGGGGGGGAGGGCGGAAAGAGGTACAGACACTGAGCCAGAGGGTGCAGAGAAGAGGAAGAGCCTGTGGGGAGGCCAAGAGGTCAGAGGGACAGCCTGAAGAGCACAGGGCCTGGAGGCCAAGGGCAGCAAGAGCTCCCTGGAGAGAGCCGCTCACTGCTGCCAATGGTCCCTGGGACGAGGACTGAGAAGTGACACTGTGTTTGGCTGCTGGAGAACTTGAGACCTTGACAAGAGCAGCTTCCATGGTGTGTGTGGGCGAGGGGCTGGCAGAGAGCAGGAGAGTGGGGCTGGTGTGCCCACGGGGCCGCTGGAAGGACATATGCCTGGAGGGCATGCCAGCAGGAACTTGTTTTTTCCACCATTATTTAACACTCTCCATGGACACTGAGGGTTTGTGATAGGAGAGGTTTTTTGTAAAATCGAAAACAGAATTGAAAGAAAGAAAACACAGATTTCAGCAAGTGACTGAGATTAGATTTTTCAACCTTTTTGGAAACAATGTTGAAAAGCCACTGGAACAAAGTTATCTGAAGCAGACCTAGTGTTGTCGTGCCTTTAAAAAAATAAACCTTTAATCTTAGAAGTTTTTTTTTTTTTTTTGAGACAGAGTCTCGCTCTGTTGCCCAGGCTGGAGTGCAGTGGCGTGACCTCAGCTCACTGCAAGCTCTGCCTCCCGGGTTCACACCATTCTCCTGCCTCAGCCTCCCGAGTAGCTGGGACCACAGGCGCTGCCACCACGCCCGGCTAATTTTTTGTATTTTTAGTAGAGACGGGGTTTCACTGTGTTAGCCAGGATGGTCTTGATCTCCTGACCTCGTGATCCGCCCGCCTCGGCCTCCCAAAGTGCTGGGATTACAGGCGTGAGCCACTGCGCCCGGCCTAATTTTACAAGTTTTAAATTGATAGAAAAGTTGCAAAGGAGAATCCCCATCACAGAGCCTTTTAGGGCCGTATCAGAAATCGAGTCCCATGAGCTTACTGCCACGTTGATGGCTGCGGGCAGGCCACCCGTCTGCATCCACTGGTGGACCTCGCGCAGCTCCTGCTTCTGACTCTCCGTGAACCTGGGCTGGAGTTTCTGCAGGAGCTTCAGCTTCTCTCTGTCCTCCTTCAAAACTGCTTCTAAATTTCTTCACAAGATATTTAGAAACTGGTAAGCTTTCAAATGTCTTAAGGGTTTCTATTTTTATTCTTTCAGTATAGATAATGTAGTTTTAGATGATTTTGTTTAATGCAAATTTCCTTTTCTTTAAAAAAATTACCGTTTAAGGTAACTTAATCTCCCTAGTAAAGAATCTGTAGTTTTTCTATGAAAATGATGATTCTGGTCAAGATTTAATTTTACTATATTTTACAACAGGCCTGGAAGTTGGGTATCTGCAGGTGTAACCTTGTCCCCTGGGGCTTGGTTGCACAACAGGCATGGTTCATCTGGGAGATTCTTGCCAGCAGGACAGCCTTTCCCTGTCACTGGCCAGTGCTGGTCTGGACTACAGCTACCCTGGAGATGGAGCCTCCATATCCACTAGCTGACCAGAGGACTCAGGGGTTTGATAGGGTTTGGCTCTGAGTTCCCTCCCAAATCTCATGTGGAACTGTAATACCCATGTGTTGAGGGAGGGACCTGGTGAGGGGTGGCGGGATCATGAGGGTGGTTCTCCCACGCTGTCCTGGTGACAGTGAGTTGTAATACGATCTGATGGGTTTATAAGTATTTAGCACTTCCTCCTTCGCTTGTGCTCTTTTCCTGCAGCTTTGTGAAGAAGGCGCTTGCTTCTCCTCCCTTCCATGACTGTAAGTTTCCTGAGGCTTCCCTGGCCCTGCAGGACTGTGAGTTAACTAAACCTCTTTCCTTTATAAATTACCCAATCTCAGGTATTTCTTTACAGCAGTGTGGAAATGGACTTATAAAGGGTTCATTTTTCCTTCCTTTCTTTCCTCCCAGCTTCTCCTGCCAAGTGGGTGCTCCGCAAGGGAAAGGACCACATGCAGTTCCCTACAGCAGCCTGATGTGGACGCAGAGCCCCTGGGTCACTGCACAGCAGCCAGCTCCCTGGGCTGGTCACCTACCTTGACACTTGGTTCCTTCAACTCTAAGTCAGACAGACAGACAGACACATCCCATTTACCTCACAGGGTTACTGGGCAACAAAGCAAGAGATGCTGGCACCAATGCTTTGTAAAAGTTGAGCGTGGCACTGTGAAGGAAGCACCAGGAGCCTGTCTTCCTCGAAGGCCGTAGGGTGTGAATCCACAGGGCCCTGGCTTACCCTGGCCACACTGCAGGGCCATTGCCATCCTGTACTAACCTGGTAGAATTGTCCAGAGGGAAGCCTGCTTCTCTGCTGCACTCAACTAAATCTCAGTCTTTCAGAGGGGTGTCCTGCCCCATCTGAATGACCTTGACCTTGCTGTTTCTGGGAACTCCTGAATCCCATCCCTCCCCAGGTGCCTAGGAAAGCGCTGGGTGGTTACCGGGAAGGCAGCTGGTACGTCATCATGACGCTGCTGTCCGCATCTGCCATCAGCAGCCAGATGGGATCCTGCAGGACGCACTTAATGAAATGCTCACTTTCTTCCATACCAGTGTTCATTTTTGCTTTGTGATTATTCTCTGAGGAGTCAATGCTTCCAAAATATTTGCTGGTATGACTTGTGTCACTACTGCCTTTAAAAACAAAAAACGTGGTGCATCAAAACCTTGACATACAAAATTAAACCTTGCATAATGTGCTTCCTCAAAGTCAGAATCATTTGAGAGAGCCCAGCCCCTTCTTAGGTATTGGGTATCTGTGCCGGTGCACGTTCCCCTTCTCTTCCCACTTCCTGAATGCTCTGGGTAATTAGGAAACAGGATCTCTGCTAGTGCCATGCAGGCAATTCTTTCCTGTGAAGCCCTGAGCAGCTCAAATGGAGCTGCGTGTTACAAGCCTTGACCTTCTCTCCCAAGCTCTCACCATCTCCACTCATGCGGACCACAGGGCACTGCAGTTTCCCACAAGGGGAGGCAGCTGGCCTGGAGCACTCCCTAGCCAGCCTCACCTGTGCAGCAGGCCTGCGAAGGGGGGTGAGGTGAAAGCTCACTCCAGAGAAGTAGGGGAGCTTCAATTTTGTGGAGTGTGTGTGCATTTCTGGTGACTGAGATTCCAGATCACATGTGAAAGATCCCAACGGGTGGAGGCTTGCAGGTGCTTCACACCCTCAGTTCACACAAGTGGAACTAACGCAGGAAGGCAAACCACTATCTGGGGAGTCAGAGGGATGGTCCAACAAGGAGCCAGGGTGAGGCCTGCAGGCACTGAAATCAGAAGCAAATAGGGAGGATGTGGAATTCTGACTAGCTAGGGCTGGCCATGCTGAACAGGGAGAGTGTGTCTGTGTGGGTGTCTGCATGGGCTCCGACAGCTGCTTGGGGACTGCCGGTGACCCCTGTCCTGAGCACAGAGGCTGGCCTGTGATTCTGGAGCAGTGCATCCTGTGGGAACCTCCCAAGTGCCTAACACCCCGCCAGGGCCAACATACCTGCCCGACTCGGGGAGGTGTCGCAGCCAAGGGAGCCAGAGCCCAGTGACTCTGAAGCAGCAGAGCCCGAGGCTGAGCAGAGGTCCTCATTCAGCAGGAGGTTTAGGAGGCCACTTGACGTGGAAAGGGCGTCACTATTCTGCATGTCTGAGGGTTCGTCACGCTTTAGGGACAGGAATAGGGGCTCAGTCAGGACACAGCACATGCAGCGGGGTGGGGGTGGGGGGCATGAGTGGGGCGAGGGTGGAGGGGAGCTGTGGAGCGGCTGCGAGGTTCACGACCAGGGAGGGCTTAATGAACAGACCACACATCACCAGACGTACAGTGCAAATTCCACTGGTGCTCTATGGATGCCATCTAATTACATTTAATTTTGGGAGAGTCACATGGAAAACAGTAATAGCTGGGCTCCAGCGGGGAAAGCCTCAGGCTGCTGCTTGGCCACAGCCCCCTCCTCACATGCAGCAGACATGGACGGGGAGAACGCCTCTCACAACACCCCATGTGGGTGCTGCCTTGGGAGTGAGGGAGGGGCCTGGCCTGGGGAGCATCCCTAACTCTCCTCTCCTTGGAAACCCAGACTATAGGCCCAGGACTCCAGAAGCAGGAGCCCGGAGGTGGCAGGAGGACTGGGAGAAGCTCCACAGATCTACACACTTGCACTTCCTTACCCAGGAGCCCTAGGTCCTCCGGCCAAGGCAGGGAATCACCTGAGGCCTATGGACTGCACTGCTGCTGGCGTTCCCACACACTTGAGCTCATTCAGAAACACAAGTGTTTAACTGCAAATACAACTGCCATTTCATTAACTGGTTAAGAATCCCACACAGTGTCACTATGCCTGCAGAGGATGGAAACTGAGGTCCCGCTGATTTTAGGGCTGTGTCCTCCTTCGTCTCTGCCTCCACCAGGGCCACCTGAGTCAGGCTCTGGCGCCACGCCCCGAGGAGCCCTAGCTCTGGTATTTAACCTGACCATGCTTTATCTTTGAAGTGTCATTTAAAAATTCGAAGCCCATAAATACTGTCAAGTCATATGCTGCTTTCTGGACTCTGTATTTACCACAATCTCTCCTCCTTCATTCAGATTCCAAGACAATAAAAGGCTTCGAATAATCTACTCTGATAGGATTAACTGGGAAGCATGAATTTCTGGCACACACATTCATGGCAAAACCTACAGGGTTTGGTGGAACCCTCAATCGTGTAACCCCCATGTCTGAACTGAGGATGTGCGGCCGGCCTGCCAGGTGTGCTGTTTGCTGCCTGCTTTGGGGAAAGAGCATCAGAAAATCCTTACGGTCAGAGATGCCTTCGGTTGCTGGTCCCGAGAAGTGCCAGGTTTGCAGTCCGCCCCCACAGCTGCTGTTTCTGTGGCCCCTGTGGTCCCCATGGCCCCAGTGCCACCCTCAGGGGCTTCCTCCAGCTGCAGCAGGTTGAGCTGCAGGGGCGAGCTGCTGCGCGACTGGAATAGTGGCGGGGAGGCTCTACCCATGGCCGATGGTGGGGTGGCCTGGGTACCTGGACAAGCGCATGGCTGTCTAGGCATCAAGGTCCGGCTGGGGAACTCGGGCTGTGAGGCAGAGGCCATCTCGGATGTGATCGTGGGGTGGCTTGGAAATTGAGGCTGACTGGGGAAGAAGGCCTGGGGCAGGTTTGGGGTCCCCGAGGGGAAGGAATAACCAGGTAGCATGAATGCCATGACAGGGGCCAAAGGGGCAGGGAAAGGTGGGGGCTGGACTGCAAACTGGTGCTGGAGGTCCACGGGCACAGCAGGCACTGCGAAACTGGCATGGGGAGGTGCGGGGGTTGCCGCCACAGTCCCTGGCGCTGGAAACACCGGCAGGGAATAAGCTGGCACTGGGGCAGGAAAGGGCATGGCCGGGCAGCTGGACTGGGACGTGTCCGAGGGTGACCAGGCTGTGGCGTTCAAGCCCACGAGTGGGGGCCGGGCGGGCAAGGGCCCCCCAGATCCGGTGCTCTCAGATGAGTCTCGAGGTTTGACCCGCTTGGACTTCAGTTTTCTGTTCTTTCCTGGTTTTCTCCAAGGTGAATCTATTCCGGAAGTATTTCTTAGTCCAGGGGCAGCTAATGCAGAAAAATAAACAAGACACCTCTTTGTCCAACAGTCCTGGGTTTCCAAATGCTGGCCCAGGGCCCGCCTGGTCCACCAAGCGGTTTTCCCTGATCCTCAGTGAAGTGAGAAAAATCAGGACAAAACATCAGGTTTTTCCATAAAACTAAATTGAATCAACTTAAAAGACAAACTCTTAATTGCAGGATCACATTCCTTATTTTCTTCTGGTATTAATGTCCTTTCTTTTATGAAATGCTAATATGGTAAGTGGTAACAGAAAGTTCTTTTTGTTAAATAAATACATTAAAAAGCTGCCACGTCTCTGCTGTTCCTCAGTATTTGCGGGAAAGAAATGGTTTGTGAAATCTGAAAGGTAGGAGCCACCGACCTCCTCTAGTTTTCAATTTATAAGCACTATCACTACTGTTCCTTAAAGAGTTTCCTCTTTCACCTGACAAACAGCCTGAGCAAGATCAGAGGAGACACTGCCTGGCAACCACATTCTTCCTCTGCAATGACAAGTGCTGTGGAGTAAAGCTTTCTTTAGGAAGATGCAGGGACTCAACTGGTAAAGGAGGGACTGTGGGAATGTCCCCATGGCCTCCCTGAGGAGTGGGAGGGGGATCCAGGGAACTCTCGGTTTCCTCTCACATCACGAAGAGTGACTGAACTCTTGCAGCAGGTGTGCGGGACATCTCCTGTCAGCTGTGCCAAGGCGGTCCCACGCCTTTGGGATGTGCTGAAAGCAAATGGGCTACTCCAACGCAAACTGCTATGTAAATGGAGGTTTTGCAATTCAGTCTCTCTATCTGGTGTCCTTCCCCAAGAAATCTGTCCCCTGGTGGGAACAGTGGCTAAAGCACTGGGTTCCTGGGATATCATGTATGGGTCTGGTAGGGCTGCCCTAGACAGCTCTGTAGACCGTGCATTGCATAAGGCAGTTGTCTAGGGGGCAAGCAAGAGGGAGAACTCTGTACTAGGCTGGTCCCATGGGGTGGGTCTTCTCAGGGCCATGGAGGGCACCTTTTTCTAATTTCTACAGAGGTTCTCTATGGGCTGGCAGTAACTCTTGAATCTGGGGAAGAAGGAGAGAAAGGAAAGAGTGGAGAAGACAATATCCTTAAGGCAGCTGTAGGCTTAGTTTCTTACACATTTCCTTTTGTGTGTCTGCCCAGAGACCCGGGGGAGCTGGGTCCTTGTGGTGAGTGGCTTCCTGGGCTCACCGGCTCTGATCCCTGTGCCAGTGTCCCAGGGAGAATGGAAGAGGCAGCATCTCTAACAAGCGTAGGCCCTGTCTGGGGGTATGGGAAGGAACTGGGGGATCAGGAGCCAGATTCCTGAGCCAGGAAAGGGGTGAAGAAGCTCATCTATTTTACTTCATCCCTTGACCTTCGACCCCCGAAGCAGCACCTGGCCTACAGAGCGGCTTCCCACAGCATGACCATGGACTCTGCCCGACTATGGAGTCCGAAGCCCAGGCCTGAGGCTGGCCCCGTCAGGACGGTGCATCTCCTGGGGAGAAGGGCGCCATGAATGGTACGCCCCTCCTTCCTCATGTGCCCAGCACCACATGCCTGTTATCTTGAGTTGAATTAGCTGATTCTCTGGAGGTCCCATCCAGGTGAGGCCCCTGCCCACATGGTTACTCACTCAAGAAACGTGGACATGGCAGCACTGCCCTGCCATGGCTCTGCCCTCCCCGGGCACTAGCCTGGGACTATTCCCCGGGGAATGCGAGCTGACATCCTGAGAGCACTCCCCTGGTGGGAAGTTCTACAGAAACAGATGGCGTTGCCAGGGAAGTTCCAACAGCTGTCTTACATGTTAATGCTTCTGAAACTGGACACATTTCACATTTTGAAACCAGCACTGGACTCAGTACCAACAGGAATAAAATTTTTTAAAACCCACTTTTAATTTAGGTATCACTTACTTCGTTCACTTGGCTGCCCCTTGGATCTTTCTTGTAAGTAGTAATGGCAGTGGGACTGGAAAATACTGAGTTTTCTTATTTCTTTGAACTTCTGCAGGAAGCTCTGCTCCTCCTTCTGTGTGTGTGCAGCGAGCACCTCCTTGGTGAGGCCCAGCTTCTTGAAGGGCTCCTTCTCTTGGCTGAGACCACAGGCCAGGGCAGGGCCCACCAGGCAGTCCAGGGATTCTGGCCCACTCACAGCATCTTCCACCATCTCTGTAACACAAGAACCCAGGGCTCCAGTCCACACGTGCCCTGTTTGTTTTAAGGCCACACTATATTCATGAACAAGACAAATCATTCACATATAAAGTGACTTCACCATGCCTGTGGCATGAGGATGAAACTCACAATGTTTTCATTTAGCTTTCCGAAAAAATTCATGGCAAAAGGCAAGAAGCAGGGCAGGAGAGCCCTGACAGCCAAGCGCTCAGGAACCTGGGGGCTGAACAAACTGAAACATGGGGACCCTTGGGCTCAACTCTGCTGTTGAAGATATCCCTGGGCTGTCCTTAGCTTTCAGAACACCAGAAACTTGGGTCAATGTGCTGAGTCTTTCTGGGTTTGGGACCGGGCTTGGTGACAGTTGGGACCCTGTGGGCCCATGAGGCAGACAGGATAGGGGACAGGCAGGGCCACTGACCATCCTGAAAGGGAGAGGTTGGGGACTGGATCCTGGACATATACTTTTTCCTCATCATCTCCCTCTACCTAGTAAAGAACAAATTCAGGATTCATTTTAATCCTAATATTCTAAAAAACAAGAACACTCAGCTACCAATGCACTCATTGTAAATCTATTTGCCATCTGTACTGGTTCGTCCCACAAACAGGGAGGGCTAATGGTCGCGCCTTCTGCTAGGCAGAGGAAAGACCCCCCCAGGCCCGCCCAGGGAAGAGGGAGGTGGGGCCTTGCTCCCAGTGCTCTCTCCGCACCAATTAAAGGGGATAAGATCTTGCACCACAATTGACCCTCCCGCACTGATGCCAGAACAGACAACTGTCACCGGGGAGCACCACAGGGCAACAGGGACCAGGACAGGTTGCTGCCTGGGCCCTGGCTGGCCACACTCCACCCTGCATTTTACACAACTGGATTTCCTGAAACGCCCCCAATGGGCTACGGTGGGGTTCTTCTGCACTTAGAGAAAGAAAAATTTAAGATGGCAAACTTCTTGTTTTCATTTTTAAAAATCAGACTTCTCTCTGATCCAAGAGCCCATGGATATACCTAATTCCGGCTGCGGCTTCTTGTCTCCCACATGGACGATGGTGCTGCTGTAGCTGCACTGGCTGGTGAGCGACGCCACACTCTCTGCCTTGCCCGGCAGTGCCAGCGAGGTCAGGTGCGTGCTGACTCCCGTGTGGCCGTTCACCCTGGAGGGCGGCTCTGCCTCTTCATGAGAGGAAGGGGGGAACAAACACGAGCGTGCCATTACAATGCACTGTGCAGATGAGGAACTGACACCCGAGTGCCCATACAGCTTCCACACCAGGGTGCACACAACCCATGCCATACCATCTCATCCCACAGATGCTCTGGCCAGGACATGGGATGGTTTGTCCCCAGTGTTTATTCACAGGAGAATAGTGGAGAAGAGCAAGTTCCGAAACGGGAGCAGTGACACACTTAAGTCCTGAGTCCTCTGAGGGCAGGCGCAGCAGCGTGGCAGCTGCAGGGAACGCTTGGTGAGGGGCTCTTGCCTGCAGCCAGGCAGCATTTCTTGCACGCCTGTGGTGGGGGCTTTTCCGACAGTCAGGAGCCAACCATAATCTGGGATACTCTCTTTCTTTCTTTCTTCTTTTTTGAGATGGAGTCTCGCTCTGTCACCCAGGCTGGAGTGCAGTGGTGCAATCTTGGCTGCAACCTCTGCCTCCCAGGTTCAAGAGATTCTCCTGCCTCAGCCTCCCAAGTAGCTGGGATTACAGGCATGCGCCATGATGCCCGGCTAATTTTTATGTTTTTAGTAGAGATGCAGTTTCACCATGTTGGCCAGGCTGGTCTCGAACTCCTGACCTTAAGTGATCCACCCACCTTGGCCTCCCAAAGTGCTGGGATTACAGGCGTGAGCCACCACGCCCAGCTGGGGTACCGTTTCTAAACCTGGTGGCAAACATCAGCAACACTGATAGTGTTTAAGCAGCCTGGGATTTAATGTGATTTCTGGGGCATGTTAACATTCAGGGACAAGGGCCCCTCTGAGACACACTGGAAAGAAGGCCTGCTCTAGACTGACAACTCGAGACCAGTGTGGCTGCATGAGGGGGTCAGGAGACGGCCCCTCAGTGTGGTCGCATGAAGGGGGTCAGGAGATGTCCCCCCAGTGTGGCTGCATGAGGGGGGTCAGGGGACGGCCCCAGGCCTCCAGCAGCCCCACTGGGTTCCTGTTCTCAAAGCCACGGCTCTGACAGAACCATCTTTGCTTCTAGCTCCTAAGAAGGGTGCTGACTTTTGAACTACTTTCATCATGTGAAGAAGAGCCTACACCCTTACACTGTGTACACAGAAGCCACGGGGATATCTAGTCTCTCCTGAGGATTTACATTATTCCACGTGTACACGGCTCTGAACAGGTTAGATACCTCCAGCATGTGGTCCTGGGCTGACTGTGGCCTTCCGCTTATCACTGGACCTTAGCGTTGGGACGTTTGCTGGGAACTCGCATTTCCTCTTCAGGGTGGCAGCCTCACTGCAGCTCTCCAAGTACCTGTGTGAAGGGCATGAACCCCGGGTGAGGCCACACAACACGAGAGGTGGGAAGGCGCGTGAGATGGTGGAGACTCGGCTGGAAGTGCCGGTGTACCTGATGACGCTGTCCAAGCAGCTGATCTGCTGGTAGGAGCAGGTGGGCTGGTCCTTGCAGGCCAACTCCTCGGGGAAGCTGGCCCCCAGGCTGTCCTTTTCCACGGCAGGGACAGCTTTCATCTCAGCTGGGGGATTAGTTTGCATTTCTGAAGGAATGGCAAAATTGTTCTTTCATTAATTTTTCTCCCAAAGAAAACGCTGTGTATTTAGAAAGCATTTTCGTTCTACCTGAAGACAGGGCTGGGGGCTCAGAATCTGCTTCATGGGTATGGAAGCCTGGGGACAGCCTAGCATCTGGCAGCCCTGTGGGCACGAGCACCACAGTGCCGTCCACAGAGAGACCTAGGAGGGAGGTGCTGCCCAGTCTGGTGTCTGCTTCTCTCTGGGGTCTAGGCTGTCCCCAGGGGTCAGGGACTCAGCAGTGGGAGATACCAGTTCTCACTTGAACTCTTAAACTTTCAGGGCGAGAGCCCACGTACTTTATGCTCCTCCTGGGCCAGGCCAGTTTTGAAAGTGATCCCTGCTAGTAACAATTATGATGGCAACTACCTCCTCACTGTGCTGTGGATTTGACTCTTGCCCCCACAACATTCATCACGTGCCTGTCCCCTAGGGGCCCTCAAGCAAAGAGCTGTGTCCAGCTCATTAATGTGTCCCCAACAGCCAGCACAGAGCCCAGGAGGCCGCATGTCCACCAACACATCCCCAAGGCCAAAAGTCCTAGCGGTGTCTGGCCAGAGTGTTCTCCACAGGAGACTTCGGCCTGAGCACAGAGAATGAGCAAGGGCCCACCAGGGGAGGGGACTGGGATGCATGCATGTGTGCACACACGTGTCTATGTGCATGCTGTGTGAGAAACACATGAGGGATAGAGGAGCAGCATGAACCTGAACCCACGCATGACAGCATGAAGCTGCCTGGGAAGTATGGTGCTGTGGTGAGGAAAGGGCTGCAGCAGTTGGGGTGGGCTGGCAGCCCCGGGGTGGTACTCTCCACTTCAGACAGGTTTGGTTGGAGTGTATGTGGATGCTGGGCAGGCTGTCGGCAGTTGTCTGTGTGTTTGTGAGTGAAGGGTGTGCAAGTGTAAACACACAGCCATACAGCCACTCTGTACAGCAAGAACGAGTGGCCCAGGCACACCCAGCGGGCAGGCCAGGGTGCAGGAAGACACACCTGGCCACAGCTCCCCAGGCCTGCACACCTAGCCACACCCCACCAGGCCTGCAGGGTGTCAGGCGCCCAGTGTGGACATCAGTGTTTGCACTGGCTGAGTGCAGAGAACTGGGCTGCTCTCGCCTCTTGGAAGCTGAAGACTGTGCTGAACATAGAAGGAGGTGTAGCACGGCTACAAGGTAGACTCCCTGCCAGCCAGAGTCAGCATTCAACCCAGCTTCCCTCTTCTCACGTGGCCATACTCCAGTTTCAGTAAGGAAATGCTGAATTTTTTTTTTTTACCTGTAACGGATTTTTTCTTTTGTTCTCCAGATTCAAGAGAATAAAGACTTCTATTTTTCGTCTTGTTACCATTTTTATAAATTTCCTTGAAGAAAAACAAAATGAACACGTTATTCATTCTAGGAGACCTCCTTCAGTTTGTCCCCCAAAGTGAGAACAGAGGATGGCTGAAATCATTTCAGCAACACAGAAGGAAATTGTGAATAAGAAATCTGACAGGTGCAGAACTAGATAAAACCTATTTGATGATCCTAAAGAGTAATAAAAATAAAGCAAAACGGCACATTACATTTTCTTCTTCTTTTTTTTTTTCTTAGACAGAGTCTCACTCTGTCACCCAGGCTAAAGTGCAATGGTGCAATCTTGTCTCACTGCAACCTCTGCCTCACGGGTTCAAGCCATTCTCGTGCCTCAGCCTCTCGAGTAGCTGGGATTACAGGGGCGCATCACCATGCCTGGCTAACATTTGTATTTTTAGTAGAGATGGCGTTTCACCATGTTGCCCAGGCTATTCTTGAACTCCTGACCTCAGGTGATCTACCTGCCTCAGCCTCCCAAAGTACTGGGATTACAGGCGTGAGTCACTGCACCCAGTCCACATTTTCTTCTTTCTATCCTAGTTGTCACTGCACCCAGTCCACATTTTCTTCTTTCTATCCTAGTTAAATCTTCACTTTTGCTTGTTTTGTCTGTTTTAAATAATTTTCTTTTTCTTTTTTTTTTTTTTTTTTTTTGAGACGGAGTCTTGCTCTGTCGCCCAGGCTGGAATGCAGTGGCCAGATCTCAGCTCACTGCAAGCTCCGCCTCCCAGGTTTACGCCATTCTCCTGCCTCAGCCTCCCGAGTAGTTGGGACTACAGGCGCCCGCCACCTCGCCCGGCTAGTTTTTTGTATTTTTTAGTAGAGACGGGGTTTCACCGTGTTAGCCAGGATGGTCTCGATCTCCTGACCTCGTGATCCGCCCGTCTCGGCCTCCCAAAGTGCTGGGATTACAGGCTTGAGCCACCGCGCCCGGCCTGTTTTAAATAATTTTCAACCAAACACTTAGCTATGGTTTCTAGCTTTTTCAACTCTTAAGAGATTAAAACATCCCAAGTAAACAAAGTTTAGAAAGGAAGCAGAAACAGCTGCGATGATGAAGCCTCTCCTAACTGCCAAAGGTTGTCCTGAGTGTGCTTTCTAACTCTGGAGGGACATCCACAAACTCATTTTCACAGGGAGAATGGAAGGGGACGTACGGCTCTCCTCCGGCGTGAGTCCTCATGGCCGTTGCTGTCGCTGGAGGAGGTCTGGCTCATGAGGTGCTCGTGGGACCCGTTGCTGCCCAGACTCCCGTAGCCGCTGGAGCCGCTGTGGGGGACGGGCTGGGGAGACAGCAGACAGTGCTACAGACACAGCCAGGGCTGCTGAGTTGCACATGTGGCCCCCTGCCAACACATCCTGTTTCACAGAGAGGATGGTGACCCGCCTAAGGCTACGTGACAAAGACCAGGGGAGCTGGGGTTTGAACCCCAGGGTCAGCTCCAGAGGTTGACTCCCGGCCTCCAGCCGCGGTGCCCCGACCCAGACATGCAGTCACTGAGAAGACGGCACCAAAGGAATGTGTCCAACCCGCTCATCAACGCATGGCTGCAGCCAGCCGCGCCTCTGCAGAGGGGTTTAAAACAAACACGATGCGATGACAGCTTCACCCCACAGCCTCCGGGAACTGACAGGCAGACACCTACTCAGGCGTGGGGTTGACTGCGATGGGCCTGATTTTTTAAGGGACCTTGAGTACAATGTCCCGTCCCTAAGTCCCACTGCTCTGGATTAGAATGAGCCCCCACACCACTGAGAGGTCACTCTGGGACTATGCAGCCTGTGTCAGAGCACGGGGTCTGCACATGTCCTTCAGCCGCTCACTCAGGGCTGCGGTTCAGACAATGTTGAATGCAAGGCTGGAGAGAGCCAAGGGTACTGTGGACTGTCTCAGACTAGCACAGTCTATGCCCAAACTGTCCCCTGAGGGATGTTCAGAGAATGACAGATGAAGTTGTCTGAGTGGGTATGCCAGGACCAGGGTGCAGAGCCTATGTCCTCTGCAGGGGGCTCTCAGGCTGCTACCTGGGAGGAGGGCATGCAGGCACCACACCCACCTGCAGCAGGAGCCGGTGGATCTGCTCCGTGAGCTCCTGAATGCTGGGGTGCAGGGCCTTCTCCTCTGTGCAAGGGTGGGCTGCAAACACGTCCTCATTCAAAGGGCCCCTGCGTGGTTTTAATTCATCTTGTTAGATGGGGCCCCACAGGAGGACCTCTCTGGCGTGACTGTATAGCCACTACATGCTGCCTGCCTGGGTGGGCCCTCTGCCTCTCCCCTGTAGCCCCCCAGGCTGCTGCCTGCCCACTCCCTACTCGGCCTGAATGAGGTCCCTCCCACTTGGGGCAGAGGACAGGTCACCCCTGCCTACCAGCCTGGGGCTCCAGATTGGTGGCAGGAGGCGAGGTTTTGGTCTTGGCCTCTCAACCCCTCCCTATGCCATCTGTTGCTGGGAGGTAAGGACAGCCCAAGACCCCCGCCCGAGACCCCTGAGCCACCTCAGGCCCTTGGAGCACTCACACCCTGACTTTGTGCCTCCCAATGATGAAGGAGATTTTCCTGCTCCATGGGTTGATGAAGCTGGACCAGCTGGTATCCAGCGTGATGTACTCGCCGTTCCGGGTGCGAAACCGAATGGGAGAGTAGTCGAAAGGCTGCCCGCCTGACTGCAGGACTAGGAGAGCAAAAGCCAGCATTCAGGGGAACAGGGGAGCAAACAGTAGAGAGAGACAAGTCAAGATTCACTCAGGCCCGGGATCATTTCCAAATGTTAGGGGTACGAACACTTCTTCAAAGCCACTGCTTTCAGCCTCCCATTTTTGCTGTAGATTACAACCAGGAGGCTGTTTCCAGGAGAAGCCGTTTCATCCCATGTTTCACCTCTGCTAGAGTGTCACTTGCGTCTATGAGGGCTGGGCTTGGTGAGGACATGCACTGCACTCCCCTGGCCTGGTCAGAACCTTCCTAGCCACAGATGAATTGGTCTCCCCTCCTCCCATGCACCACTGAAGCCAACAGTAAACATGAGATGCCACGGACTGAGAAACAATTGGCCACAAAGGAACTCACATGAGTTTACCCCTCTCTCTTGACTCCACTGGGCACTGCAGTGCCAGGAGTGAGGTGGCGAGGCGGGCGTCTACCACCTGCTTGTCCTTAGCTGATCTGACCTGTCAGAGCTAGACTGGTCCCAAGAAGAAGCCCCAAGGGCACACGAACTTCCGCCAAACACTTTAGGATGTACCGTGAAAAGGGGACCTACTCTTTTTGTGGATGGCCAGCATCAAGGGCCTGTCACTAGGGTGGAGCTGCACGAGCACTGGGGTCTCAATCAGGTCCTGAGGTAGGTAGCCCAGGAGAGGGACTGCCCTGGAAGGCAAGCAGACACATGCTAGGATCGGCGTCCAAACAGCAGAGGAGACTGTTACTAAGAACCATCTTATTCCCTGGAAAGAGAAGATACACTCCAAATCCCACCCCCTACCCCCGGAGGTCAAAATGTGGAAGTTGGACTAACAGAACCAGTTAGACTTCCAACCAATAGCAAACGAAGGTCCAGTGTCCAGGACGCCGAAGGAGGCTCCCTCTGCTGGAGCCTGAGTGCTTCAGCTCTGCGTTTCACCTCCCAAAATGCTTTTGTTTTCTTCCTTCTGGCATCTTTTTCTTTTTCTGTGTCATTCATTAGTTTGGCCACACGGGGCCTGGCGTGGATTTTTGATTAACAAGTTTTGCCTGGACCTCGGCAAACCCTTTGTATGTGCTTCTTTTCCAGCCTGGTCTCATGTGACTTTGGCCTCAGCATCCAGTTGGTTTACTGTGGCTTCTCTGGAGTCTCGGTGGCTGGCTGGGCCTCTGCCCTGTGTGCTCATGCCTCCTCCCGGAGCTGTGGCTTTGCTCCCTTGTAGGACGGAGCTGAACTTCAGCAGCACCTTCTGCTTCTGTTTGTGTCCAGCGCCCTCTGCTGGCTCCACCGACCATTTCTTCTCCCGAGCTGCCTCTTCACACTTGTTGCATCCAAACCCATGTTTCCTCAAACTTTGCTGCTTGAGGGAAGGTTTTCCCGGTCAATCTTTAGACCATGGTGCAGAACTTTCTCAAGGGCCTGGCGTTATTCTTTGATTTCCTCCTTGTCTGAGGCTCTCTCTTCAGGCCTCATGTCTTCCTTTGGACAGGATACACAAAATGTTCCTGGCATTGGCCCCATCAAGGCCTTGCTGAAGGACGAAGAGGAAGGAAGAGGAGAGGAGGGGGGGAACAGGAAGGAAACAGAGGGGGAGGAGGAAGAGGAGGGAGAAGAAAGGGGGTAGAGGGTGAAAAGAAGGAGGGGAGGGGAGGGGGAGCCCTGGCCACCTGCTCTGGCTGGCCTTGGGCTCTATGAGCCAGGCCACACACAAGGCTTCATCAAGGGGAGCTTGCAGGCTGTGGCCCATCACGCCAGGTGCACCTGTCTGCCAACCGCCCTGCACAGGGCTGAGCTGGACACCAAGTTGGCATGGGAGTGGGTTACAGACAGTCTCAGATCTCTGAAGGAAGAGAAGTCTCCCGAGGCTGCTTTACATATACGGCCCCAGGCCCTGTCCTCCAAGATCCTGGTTCTGCAGGGCAGGGTGGTATCCAGAAGCCTGCATCTGCAAACTGGCTCTGCCCCAGGCAGCCCTGCGGACACACCTGAGCCACCTGGAGCTGGAAGTAACAGATCCCTTTTTACCCACAGAGTCTCCCCAGAAGGCTGTGTGGCCCCAACTCCAAAGGTGGGGGCCTGTGTCCCTGGGCCAAGAGTAGAGGAGGGAGAGGCCTTGATCCTCCGGCTTCTAGGAGATGACCTGGTTCATTTTAGGAACCCAGCATGCCAGTGCTTCTTGGTCCACTTCCTGTGCTATCTTCTGAGGTCACTTTTCCATGACTACTGCCAGTGGCCCACACATTTTTTTCGTTCTTTTTTGTTTTTGGAGACAGTGTCTTTTGCTGTGACCTAGGCTGGAGTGCAGTGGTGCAACACAGTAGCCTTGAACTCCTAGGCTCAAGTGATCCCCCTGCCTCAGCCTCTGAGTAGCTGGGACTACAGGTGCACACCACCACACCCAGCTAATTTTTATTTTTATTTTGCAGAGACAGGGTCTTGCTACGTTTTGAACTCCTGGTTTCAAACAGGCTGGTTTCAAACTCCTGGCCTCAAGCGATCCTCCTATCTCGGCTTCTCGGAGTGCTAGGATTATAAGTGTGAGCCACTGCACCTAGCCGGCCCAAGTGTTTTCGGAGTCTTCATGAATTTGTGGAGGAGCTGGGAGAAGATACACCGTGGCGGCAGAAACCACTCAGAACATGGGTGCCCTCAAATCTCACTAGGATCGGGGGAGACCCAGAAAGAGGACCTGAATGGGGCTCTGAGGCATGGAGAATATTCTGTCCCCTGGAGAAGCCTCGAGCACACAGGCTGGAAGATGGACTTCTGCTGGGATCCAGCCAATGGCATCTCCAGCTTCCACCCTGACACTGGTCCCAGGCAACACCGCCTCTGTCTGGACCATCGTCTACTCCGAATGGGTTTACATGGGAGAATTAAGACAGGCTCAATTAGAACAATCACCAGCTCTCCAGAAAGCCTCAATTATACCATGTGCATATCTTAGAAAGTTTTCAGTGTAATTCCATAGCTATTTAATTGCCTGTATATAAGTTTTTGTCTATTATCACATAATTATAAAACCAATATGCAGTCTTGGTTTTAGCTAAATAGCTTTTATATCAAAAACATGAAAAAGGGGGTGGGTCAAGACCGCATACCTTTCATCCACATCCTGGAACAAACAATTTGGTGTATGGGTGGTTGTAAAAATTCTCTTTTCAGGAGGTATTCTAGGGGCTGAAAGAATAGAATATTACACACATTAGTGATCCTAAGAAATGCATATTTAATGTTATATTAAAACTACCAGAAAACACCCTATAGATTCAGAGTAATGAGCAGCTAAAGAAAAAAATTAAAACATAGACTCTGAACAACAGAGCTTGCCACACTGAGAACCCTACGCTGGCTGTGGGATCACCGGCCAGCCTTCTCAGCTTCTACGGAATGCTAGTTTTAGTCTAGTAAATTGAAACTGCCATGTTAACAAAACCACACGGACCACGTAAACACTACTCTCAGCAAAATAAAGCTGGAAGTCCATCTTTATGACTTTTTTTTTTTTTTTTGAGACAGAGTCTTGCTTCGTTGCCCAGGCTGGAGTGCAGTGGCACGATCTCGGCTCATTGCAACCTCTGCCTCCCGGGTTCAAGCGATTCTCCTGCCTCAGCTTCCCCAGTAGTTGGGACTACAGGCGCGTGCCACCATGCCTGGCTAATTTTTTGTATTTTTAGTTGAGGTGGGGTTTCACTGTGTTAGCCAGGATGGTCTCAATCTCCTGACCTCATGATCCGCCCGCCTTGGCCTCCCAAAGTGCTGGGATTACAGGTGTGAGCCACCACGCCCAGCCCCATGTTTATGATGTTTAAGATGAAACTAGAGTGATCTGACAAATTACTTTTAGAAAAGTGAGTTACATACTTGGATTCAAATTTCTTCTTCTTTTTTTTTTTTAATGAGACAGGGTCTCATTATGTTGCCCAGGATGGTCTCAAATGCCCAGGCTCAAAAGATCCTCCCACCTTAGCCTCCCAAAGTGCCAGACTACAGACTACAGGTATGAGCCACTGCACCTGGTCTGGATTCAGATTTCTTAGCAAATGCCATTGTACTGGAGAGCTTCACAGTTTAGAAACTAGACAAAGGTGGACAAAGGTGATAGAGTAATTTGCATAAAGTGAGTCATATATCCAAAATTTTCCTCAATTCATGGACAAAACATTCAAAATTTCAACATTTTTCCTTCTTGAAGGAGACTCTGGTAATTTGGGGGAATAACTTGTTGAACCCTAAGTACCCTCTCTAAACCTTACTATTTGGAAAAGAACATTCTGTAATACATGCAGGAATACATCAAACATTGTGGAGAAAGTCACATACTTAAAATATTTCTATCACTTTTAAGAAGTGCTTTTTTAAAAGGCTGTCACTTGGCCTGGAGCAGTGACTCACAAATGTAATCCCAGCACTTTGGGAGGCCAAGACAGGTGGATTGCCTGAGCTCAGGAGTTCGAGATCAGCCTGGGCAACATGGTGAAATCTCGTCTCTACTAAAATATTAAAAAAAAATTAGTTGGGTATGGCAGCATCCACCTGTAGTCCCAGGTACTCGGGAGGCTGAGGCAGGAGAATTGCTAGAACCTGGGAGGCGGAGGTTGCGGTGAGCCGAGATAGCATCACTGCACTCCAGCCTGGGCGACAGAGTGAGACTCCATCTCAGAAAAAAAAAGCTGCCACTCACCACAGAGAAGGTGGTGAGCACAGCGCACCACGGACTCAGCTGGATTCCCCGGGTTCAGCAGCTGCAGAATGCACCTGCCTTCAGAGAATCTGAAGATCATGTAACTTGCTCAGCAGCCATGGTGAGCACCTATAGTTCCTGGCCAGGGATTTCGGCCAATACAAGGACCAAGATGCCACAAAGCAGGATCTTAAGAGGGACCACAGGAAGGACCCATAAAGGTGGCACAATGCCTCGTACCCTCTGCGCTTCAAGAGAAGAACCCAGATATTATTTTGGGGGTGGGGTAGCCAGAAGAGCTAATGGGACCAAGAGGGTCATAGTGAGGCGAGTTGGCCTGATGACTGCACTCTGCGAGTGAGGTGGCAGCAGGAGCAGAGACCGGGGTCCAGAATGCTGGGCGTACAGAGGCACAGCAAGCCTTGTATGGAGGCCGACTCACCTGGAGAGTCACGTCCGTGCATGACTGTCTGGGAGGAAGGGAAATTCCAGGAAAATTTAGGATAGGTCAAGGTAGGGAGGGAGGGATGCCCAGCACTTCATTTCTTGGGGCCTGAGGAACTGTTTGGGGTTCTGGAGCAGGCAGCGACATCAGTGCCCTTCAGGGGGCCCAAGAGGCTGAGGTATGGGGCAGGGGATGAGGATGGGAGGGATGTGGGGCCCCAGACCTGTCGGGGCTATTCTCACTTTGTGGACAAAAGGCAGAGCAGCCAGGGAAAGGGGAGAAGGGTCACAGCCCTGGTGTGACCAGATGCCGTGGCACCCAGATGCCGTGATCTTCCATGGGGAGGGCTGGATGACAAGCAGGGTGTGCTGAGTCTCCAGAAAGATGGAGACCCTGCCCGAGGTGAGGTGCAGAAGCCAAGGGTGGGGAACTGCAGCTGGAAGTCCATTGTATAGATATCATGTTTGAACCACAAGAGTAACTGAGGGGGAGCCAGAGACAACATCTGCCCTCGCCCTGGGCTTGGCTGTTACCTTCATAACCAGAGTGCACTCTCTCTGCCAGCAGAAGGCAGCAAAGCTGACTCTCAGCACCTTGTTGCTCCCGCACCTTGACCAGGTAGGGCGTCATGCGGAAGGGGTGGTAGCGGATTTCGTTCTCGTGGCTTTTCCCGACACTGTGGAGAAGGGCCACGCTCAAAGTTTGGAACTGTGACACAGGAACAGTCCCCTGTTCTGTTCCCTCCTCACCTGGGCCCCATGCCACGATGCAGGTGATGTGTACCTCTGCTCTGCCTCAGGAGCTGGGCCTGCTCCCCTGCCCGCTTCAGTCCCTCCCTCAGTCTCATCACACTGAAGGGCAAATCAGAGTCAATACCCCCACCAGTGGGAACGCTCCACAGCCCTTCTCTGGAGCAGCCTGCACTCTGGGTGGGTAAAGCAGACCGGAAAGGTGTGCTGCTCCCTCCAGGACCTCGGCCCTAACTCCTGAGGGTGCCAGGGTCTGGTTCAGGGCCACCCCTGACAGTGCAGCTGGATGCTCAATCAGTCACCCTGGTTTGGACCAAGACCCTTGCGGGGAAAGCTGTGGGTCTCTCCCCAGAAAAAGGCACAGACAACCAAAAGATGCAGTGCTTTCAGAAACTCTGTTGACCCTGGGTACAGGCCTTCGCAGGAGACAAAGAGAAAGTACAGGGTCCCCTGGCCACCATTTTCCATGAGGGGCAGGTTAAATCACTCCCCTGCTAGCTGCATTCTTAGCAACCTGTACACATTTAAAATGCAACTGACTGTGTTTTCTGGTAGACGTCAGAAACAGGTGTGCTGGGTCCCTGCAGGCAGGGCTCATGCCCCCAGCCGCAAGTGGAGCGGCGCTGGGGTGAAATGTTTGCATGGTTTTCTAATTTAAGAAAACTGGGAACAAGGCTTACCTGACACGGCAAAAGAAAGATTTCTCCTCCATGCGTTCTTGAGTGAAAGAATCTAGAAGAGAGAGCCCAGAGTCATTCATCCAAACCAACAACTAAATACACTGTGCCTCATCTCTCACAAACAAAAGAGCAGCAGCGGAATCAAGCAAGAGCCAAGGTGAAAACGGAACATTTATGGAAGCACAAACTAAATCCTTTATGTAAGAAACCTTCTATTACACTTTTGACTAAAATTACATACACTTCATGAGTGTGGTGCATTCCAAACTATGCAGCACTAAAATTTTAGCACCAGGAGGCTTACATTTTCAAAACGGTATATGATGCTGCTGCAAACACATCAATTAATTAACAACTGAACACACTCATGGTGCACTGCTGCAAACACACCAAATAGCCTACAACTGAGCACACTCATGATGCACTGCTGCAAACACACCAACCTACAACTGAATGCACTCACAGTGCACTGCTGCAAATGAATGCACTCACAGTGCACTGCTGCAAACACAGTAACCTACAACTGAACACACTCACGGTGCACTGCTGCAAACACACCAACTAAGCACACTTATGGAAGTCCAGAACATCGACAAAGCAAGCTGTGAAGGCCACAGCAGCTACATCTTGGAAGCCAAGCCTCCATGCTGACTTTTGATTAACCCCAGTTCTGGGAAGGCCTTGGAGATTTCATTTACCTACTGTCCCTGAGTAAGAGCAGGTGCTTAAGGTAAATCCTGCCCTCAGGGCAAATTCCTGCCGGTTCCCTCTGAAGCTTGTGTGCCCATCCCACAGAAGCCCTAGGTCTGGGGGAACGGCACTGGGATCCAGTCTTGTCTCATCGCCACCCACAACACGTACAGCTTCTGTTCTTAAGTCCCTGTTAAATACTTCTTTCTAAGAAACTGAATTTGTCAGCCTCTTTCTTTGGCCACTCAGCTGCCTCAGACTTTGGGATAGGTGTGCAGAGGTCTGGGCACAGTGAAACAGAAGCCCCAAACATTTAGTGCTACATAATTTTGGGATAGTCAGTTCTAACAGAAATAACTTGGCATTTAAGGCTCACATTGGTATTTTGGTGAAACAGTAACTTCCTTTAAAATGTGAAATGTCTAGTGAAAATATGAAATCAATCAGGCAACCTCATCAGAAATGAAGAGGTGTTTCCCTAAGAGTTGAAAGGGATTTTAAAAAAAGAAATCTCTGCTTTCGTGGGAATCTAAACTAAAAAAAAAAAAATCTTAGATCTAAGTCTTCCATATAACATTTCGTCTACTCAAAAGAAATTAGGAAAGCAGAAGCAATGACTAGTTACAGAAAATGATACAAAATCAGCAGCTTGGAAAGGCCCCTGAGAATTCACCTGGTCCTTGACTTAGCTGGGCAGGGAGGAGCTGGGGCACAGAAGGCCTTGAGGAGAGTGGGGGTCAGAGGCACTGGCAGAGGCCCAGAGGCAGGCACGCCCCCAGCTGGCTCCAGGGACTTGACCAGACCTGGCTGGGAGGGCCTGGCTGGGGAGTGGAGCCTGGAAATGAGGCAGGGTAGACGATAGCTACAGTGGCAGGCCTGGCAGCTAGGAAGGCTGCCACCCACAGTGCGGCACACTTGGCCTGCAGTGCCTCGGGGGCCAGTGGCATCTGCCTAGGGACCTCACAGTCTATATACCCAAAGCCAGCCCTGGTCAAGGCAAAGAACCCTCAGGAAGTCATTCTGGGACATGACCCACTCACTGGTTGTAGCTGCCAAAGTGGTAGGGGGATGCCTGAGTGCAGGGAGCAGGGCACCTTGCTCATGCTCCCCACTGCCCCCCAACTCGGCCTCCCACGACTGCAATCGCAGCAAGATTCCAGCTTTTCAAAACAACTTCATTTCTAAAATGCTCAATGGTTTCTCTCTCTGAAATGTATGAAAAGACTATTTTAACTAAATTTATTCTGAAGAGATGAACAACTGCTTATCCTTTACCTTTGCCAGAGCAGGCAGCTGGTGGCCCCCACAGGTGGGCTCTGAAAGGTGAGGTAGGGCACCTGCACCACATCTGGGGTGGGCCCAGCTCCTGGCCCCTTTCCAGACCCCAGAGGAAACAAGGCACTACCTCGATGACCTCACCTGCTCCGCTGCACACGCTCCACAAGGGAAGCTTGTATGGGGAGGTGAAGCTGTGGAACACTCCCACATCGTGAGGCGCCAGGAACTCCACAAACTTGGCGTCGCTGAAGACATCTCTTTTATAGTTAAATATAGATGCAACCTGGTCAGAGATGTACAGGATCTTCCCAGACACCAGGGACACGGCCACAGCAAACATATCCTGAAAAGGAAGAGCAGGGCTCTGGTGACAAGGTCAGACGGGGTTGGCCGCCACATCCGACTCAGGCAGGCAGGCTGGAGGGAGCCGCCCACCAGAAGCGTCAGAGGTGGGGGGCTCTCTGAGCCCCTTGCCTAGCCCTGACCAAAAAATCCTATCTTGCCTGTTGACAGAGCAGGAGCATTGCCATCTTGGACAAGCCCCTCATTCTAAAGTTCACCTTAATAAAAAATGGCCCACATCCAAAGGGCATCAGCCTAATGGCTAAGGTCAACATGACCATAAACCACAAGTACATCTCCAACCAGAAACATTCCAAACTCCTCCCCGACCAGAGACACGCTAGCCCCGAGATAACCCCACTCCAGGGCCTGGATATATGCCTGTCCCAAGATAACCTTCCCCTCCCAGAGACGGTCCAGCCCCGCCATAAACTCCTCCAACACACAAACATTCCAGGCTTGCGATAAGCCCTTCACCCTGAAACCAACATATACTCTCAGTCTGCAGAGAAAGCGCTCCTGATCAAAATCGGCCAGGAGCGCCTCTCAGGTTTTCACTAAAGGAAACCTGTCTTTGACTGCCAAGCTGCATTTCATGTTTCTTTCCTCTTTAACTCTTACACCTGTTACAGATATTGGGAGGTCCAACATGATATTATTCGAAACAACACATCAGGGTTCTATTGCTGGAATAAACTCCAGCTGTCTCCACCCACTGGAAGGCGCCACTCACCCCACTGTCTTGGACATGGCACCTGGTGTCCAGGCTGGGTGACAGGGAGGTGGGGGACCCTCTGCTCACTTGGCCTGCCCCAACAACCTCTACCAGCCTTGCTCTCTCCCAGGGTTCTAGGGGCTTCCTGGGGAGCAGAGGTCTCTGGGTGGGCCCCTCCAGCCCACCATGGGCGCTCTGCTGCTGGCTGGCCCTCTGGGCTCAGGGTTGGGGGCTGCCTGGGGGTTACGCTGGAGGAAGATGGGAAGGATTAGGGAGCCCTGTTATGAGGCCAGCTTCACAATGGTCCCAGCACACGTGGGGTCCCCGCTGGCCCTTACATCTGTTCTCACTGGCTGAAAACTCAGGGTGGTAGAGCAGGTGTGTGTGTATGTGGCCCATGCACCCTCCAAGGGGCCCACCTTTGGGTGTGCTTAAAAATGCATGGTTTTTGGAGTCTCCAATCCCAGCTCCCCCCATGACCGCAAAGCCCTGGACAAGTGAACTGACTGTCACCAAGTCTGTCTCCTCACCTTGAGGACATGAAAACCCAGAGCCCCCCCGTTCAGTCACAGTGGATTTGTCCTTGCACCCATGAGTTACAGGACAAAGTTGGGCAGGGACGAAGAAGACAGTCTCACAGAAGGCAGAAGTCCAGAACATGAATGCCACTTCCAGAATCACTGACTTCACATTCTTCCTTTTAAAGGTAGGAACTTATCTGCTGAAACCCCAAACGCTCCTGCCTTATAGCCACTGGCCACTGCTCTGAGCTAGCTCGCCTGGAGGAGGAACTCCCGCCGTTTAGAAAGAAACTTTCGGGAAGACGCTTACGGCATTCTTCACAATGTGCTCAGAGGTAATGCTCTCCATCTCCTCCACAGTGTAGGAGGGCACGTCTGATCCACAGGGGTGACCCTCGCTGGACATCAGCAGCTGGTAATACTCTTCGTTGGCTGCAGGATAGACAGTGCTCACATTCAGGGGGCAGAACCCAGCACTTGGCCGGAGACAGTCACTAGCTCTTACGAACTGGGGGCTCTATTTTCTCAAACGAAAAGGTAGGATATAAATCCCGTCTTCCTGGGACACAGAACACACGGATACGCGAAGGCAAAACAAACTCACAAACAGAAATCAGGATATTTTTCCCTGAAACATCAGAAGGCCTTTGATTATAAATTTTTTTAAATGTGGCAACTATATTATTTAAGGTTACATGGTCAGAGTTCCAGCTACCTCTCACGTTCTCCAGAAGGGGCCTCTTTTTTTTTTTTTGAGATGGATTTTTGCTTTTGTAACCCAGGCTGGAGTGCAATGGCGCAATCTCGGCTCATTACAACTTCCGCCTCCCAGGTTCAAGCAATTCTCTCGCCTCAGCCTCCCAAGTAGCTGGGATTACAGGAACCTGCCACTACAATTAGCTAATTATTCTTGTTTTTGTTTTTGTTTTTCCGCTCTGTCGACCAGGCTGGAGTGCAGTGGCTGGATCTCAGCTCACTGCAAGCTCCACCTCCCAGGTTCATGCCATTCTCCTGCCTCAGCCTCCCGAGTAGCTGGGACTACAGGTGCCCACCACCTCGCCCGGCTAGTTTTTTGTATTTTTTAGTAGAGACGGGGTTTCACCGTGTTAGCCAGGATGGTCTCAATCTCCTGACCTCGTGATCCACCCATCTCGGCCTCCCAAAGTGCTGGGATTACAGGCTTGAGCCACCGCGCCCGGCCCCGTTTGTTTTGTTTTGAGATGGAGCCTCACTCTGTCGCCAGGCTGGAGTGCAGTGGCATGATCTCACCTCACTGCAACCCCCACCTCCCAGGGGTTCAAGCAATTCTCCTGCCTCAGCCTCCCAAGTAGCTGGGACTACAGGTGCATGCCACCACACGCCGAGCTAATTTTTGTATTTTTAGTAGAGACAAGGTTTCACCATGTTGGCCAGGATGGTCTCGATCTCTTGACCTTGTGATCTGCCCGTCTTGGCCTCCCAAAGTGCTGGGATTACAGGCGTGAGCCACTGTGCCTGGCCTCCAGAAGGTCTTTAATCATGATGGTACATCCACGTTTCCACACAGGACCACATGGCAACCCCTGCACATCTGACTCCCTGGGTGATGCCATCAGACACCCCCATCCAGGCAGAACTGACTGCTTAAAAAAATAGCAGGCACAAGAACATTTGAAAGAAAGTTTTCAAAATAGAATCTGAAGAGGAGGGGGCCACTCCATCTGAGTTCCCACGCCATCCTGGCTTATCCAGTGGGCTCTGGGGTGACAAGCCTGTCTCTGGGTGTTAGTGCTCACAGCCACAGCGGCCCTCACTCCAGGTGGGAGCAAAGGGGCCAGCTCGAGGCTGCCAGTTGCCCTCAGGGCTCAACAGGCCCTGGATACATGAAACCTGGGGCTGTGTTAGGAGACTGACCCAGGATTCTGCCATGCATGTGCTTCCTGCGATGTGGTGAGCGATGTGGTGAGGAGACCTTTGGATCCACAGCTGGGTCTCATCTGCTTTCAGTTTTGCCACCTTCAGTAATTTCAGAAACAGGCACATGTCTGAGTATGCTCTGAAATCAAGATATAAACTGCTGGGAAGTCTGGAAAATGTCCATGTGGCAGAGCTTCTGAGCTCTGAAGTTACTGCAGATGCCAATAGGGAAACACTTTAAATGGACATAATCACTTGAGAACAGAGCACCCCAACTGATCAGAATGAACTTTCCCTTCCAGCTCCTCCTTCTGGAAAATGGGGCCTCCATGGGCACACAGGCCCAGAGCGGTGCCCTCCATGGCAGGGTGCTCATCCCAGGGGCACCAGATTTTATCTTTAGACCTGACCAGCAATGACGAGCAGCTGAGGCACCTTGTTCTGTCTATATCAACCCTCACCAAATGGACAATGGGATTAGGGAGGAGCCTGCAGAGAAACTTATAGGACACCCAAAGACAACACCCAAAAATGCAAGTCCAAGCTAGCACATGGCAGAGCAACCCTTCTATACTTGGCTCAAGGGACCCCAGAGGCGAGTGCTGATGACCTGCTCACTGCTGATGAAAAATTACTGAAACATTTAAAAATATGAAGACTGCTTACAATATGAGTTTATACCCATGATTACTAGTGAAGAACTTTGTCCTAACTGTACGCTGTGCTTTGAAACGACTGATGATAATAGAATACAGCTACTGCTTCACCTTAAACCTTTCAGATTTTTCTTTTATGCACGTTTTTAATGTAAAAGATCCATCAGCCCCTCAGTGCGTGTGTGCAACACATGAAAAGGCACAGCTCCACGGAGTCGGGAGGTGCTCACACATCAGCTGGCAGGAGGTGTGAAGATGCTCTGCAGGGCACCTTCCTTCCCCACCCTGGCTCACACTGATGGTCTCTGCCTGCTCGTCACAACAGACCAACACAGCTGAGGAATTCTTCAAAGTTCCAGAGCTGGTTGTTTTCACTGTAAAGAAAAAGGCCAAGCCAGGCACAGTGGCTCACACCTGTAATCCCAGAACTTTGGCAGGCTGAAGTGGGAGGACTGCTTGGGTCCAGGAGTTCGAGACCAGCCTGGGCAACATAGTGAGACTCCATCTCCACAAAAAATGCAAAAATTAGCTGGGCGTGGTGGTACATGCCTATGGTCCCAGCTACTCAGGAGGCTGTGGCAGGAGAATCGCTTAAGCCCGGAAGTCGAGGCTACAGTGAGCTGTGATAAGCCTCGAGTTTTAGAAAGTCAACACAATCTGAGCTATAATTTGGTGGGATTTAAAACATATTTCTATAGGTTTGGAGCAGATGTGCGAGGCTGACGTACCTTTCACCTGCTTCACACTCCTGAGGGCGTACTTCAGGGTGGCCAGCGTACTAGCCTTGCCCTTGGCCTTCTTGTCTGCAGGGAGGTGAACCTTCAGCTCCTTTAGTGTTTTTATCAGTTCTTTGTGTGTGTCCACTTTCGAAGACTGGTCGCTACTGCAGGATTCAAGAAAGAGGCAGCCAAATGTTAGCTTCCTAGGTGTCCTTTCCTGAAGAAACGTGTCTCTTGTCCATTTTCTCAGCCTTGGCTCTAAAGACGTTTTGATCTGAATGGTCCTTTGTGGGGCTCTGCAGGACATTTAGCAGTATCCCTGGCCTCACCCACAACAGACCAGGAAGACTACAGCCAGGTATGACAATCAGAGCTATCGACAGACAATGCCAGATGTTTCTTGCTGGGAGACAAATTGTACCTGGTCAAGAATCACCGCTCTAACCCAACTGAATGCTGGAGAAGTCCCTCCAGCTGTGTTCTTTTCCGCCAAGGGTTAGAGCTAGGCTTTGCTCAGGGAAGGATACTGGCCGACCCACAGTCTGGTGCAGTGGACTGTGCCCTGAGTTGTGCCCTCCTTCCCTGCCCCAGGTAAAGAAGGACTGAGTGATGGGATTACAGAGGACAGCACAGTGACTTCCTGGGACATAAAAGTGAGCCATGAACAGAGAAAAGGGGATTGTGGAGAAGGGTCTTCAAACATTAATTGAGGATACAGAGAGACAGGACAGCAGGGTTGATGAAGATGGGCCTGTTCGGAACAGAGCGTGCAGAAGGAATGATGGAAATCAAGGTTTCTCAGGCAATGCAAAGTGCCCACAGGTCCTGGACTAGGAGCCGGGTTCTGCTCCAGAGGTGACAGGAAAATTGACATAGGGTAAGTTTGTTACAAACACCTAAGAAGGGTGAAGAATGTTCTAGATGAAAATGCCCAAAGACTCAGGCAAAGTCGGCTTCGAGTAGAGCTGGGAGAAGCTACAGGTACTGGAGTGACATCCTGGGGGCTCTGGATGGCGAGGGGACACAGTCACTGTCTGAAAGGCCCGGGTAAAGCTGGGTTCATACTCATACAGCCACACAGACGGGTTTTAGCAGAGCTTAAAAAAAGCCACGTCACTCCCAAAAAACTAACCTCCAATAAGAAGTCTTTCAATTTCTCTAAAAACTCTGTGTACGAAGTTCTAATTGGCCTTACCTGCAGCCACTTGTAGATGGGTTGTGTTCAGATTTTGTAATCATCAGGCTAAAGGCATCTGGACTGTGAAAACAAGAAATAAAAGCAAAATTTAGACAACTGTATGCTCCAGACACATCTTCCCCTGCCACCCTACCAGTGATAACAGGTTAGATAACACCATGGTAAGACAACTTCTAAAAAATACAAGGTTATGATAAAGCTGGAACATAAAACTTTTAGACATGAGAAAAACTAAGTACCAGGACACAGAAACACATGACAACAGGGACCAGTTCCTTTTCTATAAACCTCCCCGTGTTGTATAAGCAGCCACTGGCTGGGTTACCCACCACTGCTACCTCCCAAGATCTCCTTACGCTACCCAGTACCTGTCTGTTGGCAATTGGATCTACAAAATCAACAGGGCCTCATTATAAGGAAGGACAGACACTGGCACATTTTAATCATTTTCAAAAATCTTGAAAAACTTGATAATCATGATTTAAAGATTGCAAAAGCAATCAAATCACAGCAGAAATGAGCCACTGAGGAAATAACCTGCCCAGCCTCCATCTGGCCAGAGGCTGAACTCACCTCTGGTGGGCATCCGGTGGCTCCACCAGCATTCCCAGCTCCTTCCCGCTGTCGTCACAGTCACTGCCCTGCGAGTCCCGCCCCGTGGAGCAGTTTTCGTTGGTCTCATGTCCACTTGAGCCACTGCTCATGTCCACATCTTCCTGAAGTGGGACCTGGCTGGGCTGGGGCTCCATGGGCTCCTTGGTGGAGTTACTGGGGCTGGGGGGAAATTCCGCGTATCCATTCATGTTGGGCTCTGGAATGAAGCTGGCAAACAGAGGGATGCTGTCAGGCAGAGCACCCGTTTGACTCTTTCTGTTACTAATGAAACTGCAGTCTCTTTCTTTCTTCTCTCTGTCTCTCTCTCTCTTTCTTTCTTTCTTTTTTGGAGACAGGTCTGACTCCTTTGCACAGGGAATGCAGTGCCTGGGCTCAAGCGATTCTCCCACCTCAGCCTCCAGGATAGTTGGAACCACAGGCACTCACCACCATGCCTGGCTAATTTTTTGTATTTTTGGTAGAGACAGGGTTTTGCCATGTTGCCCAGACTGGTCTCGAACTCCTGAAGTCAAGCGATCTGCCTGCCTCAGCCTCCCAAAATGTTGAGATTACAGGCCAGCTGTGGCTAGCCGCACCCAGCCAAAACTGCCCTTTCATTGCGATCAATCACACACATATTAGTTCATCACATCACTTATTTGTTCTTATTGACAGAGCTCCTATCTGCCATGGATTAGGAAGAGGGTTGAATGAGGCAGCCTAAGCCCCTGACACAGAGCTGCTGGAGGCCTCATCAGACGGCAGACAAGAGCACTGACAGTCACCACCCGGCCTGTGGAGTGCTGGGAAAAAACAAGAGCACTGACAGTCACCTCCCAGCCTCTGGAGTGCTGGGAGAAGCACACGGTCCCTCTGAATGGGTGATCTGCCTTTTATAAATTTCCCCAGATGATGGTGGGGTAGGGGAGCCGAGTTCAGAAATCTTGGCCATTACACACGGCACAGTTACAGGAGGAGGAGCCAAGGCTAGCAGGAGACATGGAGACAGACAGGGCTTGCTGGCTAAAGAGGGCAGAGGGGCCTGGCAGGTGTGGAACCCTCCCAGCAGCTCGGGAGTCCCAGACCCCGCAGGCATGTATAAGTGGGATGGGGAGGGACCAGGACAATGTGGCTTCACATTTACTAGGAATGGTTGGGAGCTGCTGAGGCACTCTGAGTGCCAGGCCCACGGAACTCAGCTCGCATTTGGACAGGCTCGCACTGCTGTGCTGGACAGAAGCTTTACCTCAGCACTTTGGGGTAGGTGGGTGGAATGGCTGAAAAAAGAGACAGACCAGTGATCATCCTGGACACAAACTGAGGGAGTGAGCAGAGACAGGCAGTAGGGTGGGGTGGGACTGATTAGCAGGTGGGAGGCCAAAATAACATCCTGGGTCCTCCCTTCTTTACCTAGTGATGTCCCCCCATCCCCAGGACAGCGTTTTCAGCAGGGTCCCAGCAGGAAGCAGGCACCCACTCAAGCGGGGCACTGGAGAGAGCTAGATGAAGGCCCTGCGTGACACAAGTGGTCATGCTTAACGAACACAGCTGTGAGGCTCTGGGGTGATGCTGCTGACTACAGACATGATGCTAAGCACCCAACACACAGCCTTCCCAGCAACTCTGGATCACTGTCTACATGGTGTGCAGGGGACTGTTCTACAGAGGCGCCAACAGGGGTGGGTAGCTCACCCCCGACCACACAGTAGATGACGGCCCTGGATTCCAGGCCTGCCGGCATCTGAAGATGGGACCCCCACCCTACAACCAGGCTTGGCTGCGCGGGGACCTCCTGCTTCCTGCCACTGCACTGTGCTCGGCCCCAACTCTGGTCCAGTGTGGCACTGCCACTTTTGCATGGCATCTGTCTGGCCCTTCCAAGGGCAGGCGGAACAAGGGGAGAGAAGGGTTTCTGGATTCCAGACCCCAAATCTTGTGAAACATCTTATGCTCCAATTTCCATCTAGCTCTGGGAGAGCCTCCCCTTCCACCTCCTTCCCACCAGAACCCACGTGAAATGACCAAGGATCATACAACTGGTTGGGGGGAGGGATCATTTTCAGCAGCCCTAGAAGTCCCAATCATTCGCCACAAAGTGAAGTGCGTCCTGCTGCTTGTCGCTCAGATGGAAGGAGCATGAAGAGTGCACTGGAGTCCAAATCCCCCTGAGGAAGTGGCTAGCGCTGAGATCCCTGCTACCCCCCGCCACAGAAGAAGACGGCCTGAACCACGGTCAAGGCTGGACCGTCAAGAGCTCTACTACCAAGAAGATGCTTCGTGAGGAAGCTGTGGGAGAAGAACGGACACCGGAACAGAAATCCTGTGGGAAGGAGAGGTTCTCCTGGACACGCTTCACCCACTGAACACCCCCAGGTGCCCTCCCCTACAGGGCGACTCTGAGAAAGGGCTCAAAACCATCCAGCAATAGTGAGGGCCGCACACACAGGGAGCCGGATTCCAACAGCTGGCCCTAGGAACTGAATGGCTACGCTCCAAAGAGAGCCTTCAGCACCCCCTTCCCCAGGTCAAGTCCGTTCACAGGTGAGCCACTCCAGGACAGCCTGGTGAGAGGCGGGGCTCACGAAGAGTCCACCCACATCAGTGTCTGGAGAATAGCAGGGCTGACTAGACCTTGCCTTGTTCACAAACTAATAAACAGAAGAAAGCCAATACGGGCTGTGGAAAAGACACACAGCAAAGACAACTGAACACAACCCTCATGCCACAGAGGAAGCAGCAAATTAGGACAGCATCTACTTTTCATCCTAAAAATACAAGAAGTGATGGACTCAATGAAACAAGTAATGAGGGATGCGATAAGGCCACAGTCTGAGATGAAAATGCCACATTAGAATGGAAAACTAGAAAGGACAAAGTTCAGAGTCAATAAAAAGAAAATGGCTTCAGTGATAGGGAGGAGATGCATAAGAAACTTTTAAAATGCAAAGGGAAAGGAGAAGGGAAGAGAGACGGAGGAGGGCCAGGTTTTACCTGTGGATTACAGCTCTTTCTGAAAGAGACGAGAACAATAAACCAGAAACCATAATGAGCGAGACACATAGAGAACCACCCTGAGCCAAAGACACAGCTGAATCTGCCAATCAAAGGACAGGAGTCCAACGCCTAACTGCATCCAGATGACAAACAGTATCTCCAAGGATAAAGAAAATCCTATCAACATTAAAAGAGAACAAACAAGTTACCCATAAAGGATGAAAAAAAATCAGACTAGTCTTGGATATCTCTTCAGCAATATTAAATTTCCAGAAGACAATGTCTACTTTTTTTTTTTTTTTTTTTTTTTTTTGAGAGAGAGTCTTGCTCTGTCAACAGGCTGGAGTGCAGCGGTGCAATCTTGGCTCATGGCAACCTCCGCCTCTGGGTTCAAGCAATTCTCCTGCCTCAGCCTCCTGAGTAGCTGGGACTACAGGCGCACACCACCACGCCCAGCTAATTTTTGTATTTTTAGTAGAGATGGGGTTTCACCATGCTGGCCAGGATGGTCTTGATCTCTTGATTTCATGATCTGCCCACTTCGGCCTCCCAAAGTGCTGGGATTATAGGCGTGAGCCACCGTGCCCAGCTGTCTATATATATTAATAGCTCTGAGAGGAAAAGCTTATAGTCAAAGGGAGGACATCTCAATTACAGGATACCTGATTGTGGGTTATATAGCTGGTTTTATCAATATCCTGAGTCATATAAAACCCAAAATGCCAGCGTCATTTCACTTAAAGTCAGGAACAAAATAAGCAAGTCTATTACTCCAGTCTTTGTTTGTTTGTTTACATTTTATGGCAGTTCTAGCAAATTCAATGAAAGATGAATGGTAATACCTTTTGGGAAGAGAGAGACTAAGCACGAAGACTGCCTAGGCCATTCCCACAAAGAGAAACACCAAAGATTTGTGAATTTGTAGAGACAGGCTCAACCTCATTAGCATCAGGAAAATGCAAAGGATGAGGTTATCATGCCCATCAGCTTGCCAAAAATTAACAGGACTGCTCACCCTAGCGTTGGTCAGGTGGAGGAGTGGCTCTTGAGTATGGTGGTGTAGTAATAGGGTATTTCTGGAGAGAAATTTGAGTTCACAGCAACGTTTATAATCTGCATACTCTTCCCACCTCCAGGAATCCATTGCAGATAAGTGCTTATTTATGTGCACAGAGATGTGTGAGCATGGAATATAAAAATCTGGAAAGAACCATCAACAAGGAGGCTACGCATCCCGTCCATGATCATCCTGGCCAGGAGCCAGCCTCAAATTCCAAACTGGTCCCGTGACTCCACCTGGCCCCACTATGGTCAACACAGCATCCAGAGCGATCCTGGTGAAGGGGCTTAGCTTACACCTGGCCTGTGCTCAGACCCTTGCTCAGAGCACAGCTCTAGTGGGCACGAGGGCCAGAGGCTCTGCAAGTCCAGCTCCTGCAATCTCCTGGGCATGTCCTGTTAACTGCCCACCCCTTGGCCCCAGCCCTGTGTGCTCTGACCACAGGGACTCTGCACTTGCTGCTCCCTCGTGCCCACAGCCCTCTTCCTGTAGATGCCCTGGGCAGCCTGCATGAACAGCACTGCCTCCCCACCAGCTCCTTCTCTGTGCCCTGCACTCCCGCTCTGTGGGCTTTCCTTGCCAGCACTGAGGGGCGGGGCTGTTTACTGCCTGCCTCCCCTCTGGGACATAAGCTCCATGCGGGTAGGGGTTTGAGTTGGTCACTACTGGATCCCCAGGCCCTGGCACATACTGTTGAAGACACAAACCTGGGACATCCATGCTCTGAATACTATACACAGTAAAAGGACGGAGGCCAGAAACACTGATGTGGGGAGAGTCTCAGACATAGACGAACAAGTCCAAGAACAATAAATAACGACAACAATAAAAAGGACAGATGGCACTCAGGCAGGGCCCGCCTGGTGCCAGCAGTTTCCCACTGACTTGCCCTTACTCGATTAGCACTGAGGGCTGGCACTGGGGCAGACAACAGAGCAGACATCTTTCCTGCCCTCAGGCAGCTTACATTAGGGGGAACAGACAATAAATAAGAAAGTAGAATATACAGTACAGCAGGCAACTAGCAAGGGGGAATAGAGGGGCTGGGAGTGACATTTCAGTGAGGGTGGCCCCAGGTGTAGGTGGCATTTGGCAAGGACCTTGCACTTGAGCCCTCATGTGTGAACTGACCCAGAGTCCCTGGGCTTTGCTCTCTCAGGCTTGCAGTCACGTG